TGCGCGAGAAGCGCATGTCAGCCCTCATGCGATCGCGGGCATCGGCGACGACCTCCTCAGCGATCTGCTCCTCGCCGAGCTGGCCCTCCGTCGGCACGTGAACCGTGCTCACCCTCTGGTCGAACACCTGCTGAGCCGAGGTGGGCATGTTTGTGAGCGCCGAGGTGACCGAGGAGCCCAGCTGCTGAACAGCCTGCCGAGCCGCCTCGTCCATAAGAGCCGGAGGGCCATTCCGAGCTCGAACGGCGTTGTTCTCGTCGTGCGACCGGGGCGAGCGCCTCCTGCCGGACGAACTCCAATGGGCAGATCCTGAGCTTGGATCGAGCCCTCACGTGGAAGTTCCCATGATCCACTGGGAACTCGTCTGTCGCAGTTCCCACTTGCTCTTGCTCGCCGGCGAACGCATTGTGGTACCAGACAGCTGGGCGAACTGCTGGATGTGGTCCGGACCTTCCACGCGAGCGCGCTGGCTCCGACAGGCCTGGATCGTGTTGATCAAGGCGGGGCCCGAGATGTGGCTGACCGTGAGCCACGTGCCCGGCACCGAAGTCCTCCCGCACTTGAGATCGATCCTGTTGTTGGCGTCCCGGAACCGAAACTCAACACGATCGGCATCGTTCCCGTAGCCTTCTCGCGATGAGCGATCTGTCACCCTGAGCTCACAAGTGCTCATGGCATGATCACTCGCCATCACTGCTCCTCTCGGGCCGATCGTGTAGACCCGGGCTCCGACCTCGAACGAGGTCACGGAGACCTTCCATCCAACGAAGACCGAGATGACGATCGAGGGTCGGAACCATCCTTCGTTGGCCGACCGGATCAAGACCTCGTCACAGAACTGCTGCTGGACAGAGAGATCTGAGTCCGAGCGGTAGCCCCTGAAGACCAAATGGAAGAGGACCTCATTTCCATTGAAGACCTTCACATCCACATAGGTGGCCGAGGTGTCGAACATCACCGGCCACGTGAAGGGCTGGAAAGCCGGGTGCGATAGCGCCCGACTCGCATAGGAGTCCCACTGAGCACATGGGCCCCCTGTTCTCGAAGTCATCGAGAAGAGCAGAACTGCCTTGATACCGTCGAGCGTATAGTTCGCGAACAGCGAACAGTGGTAGCCCGAGTTCGGGGGCATGACCAGGTCCCGCTCTGTGAGTGATCGAACTGGCGGCATTCGAGATGATCTCCTCGGCCAGCCAGTTCTGGAACGGGGAGATCACCCGATCGTCGCGATTGTCGATGATGAGGAGGGAGTTCTTAGTCTCATCCTCCTCTTCAACCACGAGCTGGCGAACGAACTCGGGTCGCTGCACCGCGAAAGGGTTGTGAGCAGCGGGAGCACCACGATCACGACGTCCACGACCATCGTCGCGACCCCAGCCTCCAGAGCCCCAATCACCGGGCGGCAGCTGGAGCCGCGGGATTCTCGGGAGCCTCTGCCTCGCCTGGAACGTAGTGTCCCCAGTTTCCCGGATTCTCAGGCTGACCAAGCCGGCGAGGCAACCCGAACTGTGGGGCCATCGGAGCCGCCATCTGCCGACCTTGATGGAAGCCAGCGGGAGGGAACGACATGGCTGCAATCGAGCGAGCCTATTCACTTCCACCTCCCACGCCGAAATTTTTCGGTATGGCCCGATCGGCTTGAGCCAAAATGGCCACGGAAAAGAAAGATCACGTCTGTTCCAACGATCGCGAAACTGATCTCCTAATTCCTACCCACCAGACCGATAATTAGGAGACATATAACAGGCCACCCCCTCGTTTGGCGATTTCGGCTATCATATACCTTAAACACCCCCCCCCCGATTGGGCGGTTCGCTTTTATCACATATGTATGTAAAACGCGCCAGACCAGCGGGGTTCATCATATATCTTAAACACATCCCCATTCAACGATTCCGGTTTATCACAAATGTTTAAACACGCCCCTCATGTGGCGATTCCAGCTTCATATAAAGAACCACGCCGCCCGATTGGGCGATTCCGGTTCCTCATATGTATATATATATATATATATATATATATATATTATATCTTTAAATATATACTTATTCTTCAAACACACCCGTCATTTGGCGATTCCTGCTATCATATACCTGAAACAGACCCCATTGGGCGATTCCGGTTAACGGTATTATAAACACGCCCCTCATTTGGCGAGTCCGGCTCTCATATACCTTGAACAAGCCCGATTGGGTGATTCCGGCTTATCATTTACATCTGTCATTAATTACGACCCTCATCAATTCCGGCTATCATATACCTTAAACACGCCAGACCAATGGGGTTCATCATATATCTTAAGCACCCCCCTTCATTGGTCGATTCCGGCTATCTTATACCTTAGACACGCCAGACCAGCTGGGTTCATCATATATGTTAAACACGCCCCCCCGATTGGGCGATTCCGGTTCATCCTATATCTTAAACAAGCCCCTCATTTGGCGCTTCCGGCTGTCATATACCTTTGACACGCCGGACCCGTGGGGTTCATCATATGCTCGCTCCTCGTCAGCTTCGAAGTTTTTCTGCAGCAGGCTCTGGATTCCGGCGTGGGGTTCCGGAGCGGGTTCTGCAGTGTGGTTCCGAAGCGGTTCCGAAGTAAGTTCTGGAGCGGTTCCGGGGCGGGTTTTGGAAGGGTTCCGGAGCATTTCCGCAGCGGCTTCCGGAGCGGTTCCAGGGCGGGTTTCCCGCTCGCTCAGACCAAAACCATTGTGCCAAGCCGCAAGATGCATGGTCACCAAAGACTAGGGCATACAGTGTCCTATGCCTTATGCAGTCTTAGCACAAGGTTTCTTATGGTGATATCATAATATCCATTTGCCATCAGCTGTTGGGGCTTCAGTGGGCTTATTGAACAACTATCTTTGACACTCACTCTCGGACAAAGCCTGGCAAGGTCTGCAGAAGTAGGTTCGACCAGATTCGTTATCAGCCCAGCAAATGCGTGTAACTCACCAGGCAGCTGTCAGACGAAACCAGATTTAGGCCAAGACCAGGTACACAACCATATCCAAGGTCCCAACTGACAGCAGTCCCCTGTAGTGGCAAACGCTAAACCAGCTAGGAAACCCCACACCCTAGTTGAGCCACTCAAAGGACTTGTGAAACGCTGTTGCGGCGGGTGTCTACCTGTTCTTGGTGCAACGTTGTTGTTGCCGGTCCCCTCAACAAAAAATGCCGAAGGGTGCTTTCCGTCTTGCAGTCATGCACTGCCAGCTGCATGCAGAATCCAGCCCATCCCCTTCTCCACGGATCGCATTTGCCCTCGACTGCACATGCAGAACCTTCCAAATTCAGAGAATTCCCATCACCTTGACTATGCCTGCCCGTCAGAGTAGGTAGAAGCCATGCAGTAAGAGTCCATGCAGAAGTCAGCACAGCCCAGCAGAAAGTATACATGAAGTCCACAACGTTGTATGCTGACACATTGTACATGCAGGGACGTTGAAGCCTCCCATTGACGACGACTTGCATTGGCCCTCGATTACACCTGCAGAACTGTCCAAATACAGTGAATTCCCGTCGCCGTGACCATGCACTGCCTGTCAGAGTAAACAGAAGCCACGCAGTCAGAATCCATGCAGAAGTCAGCACAGCCCAACAGAAAGCACGTCTGAATTCCCCAACATTGTGTGCTGACACATTTGTGCATGCAGCGAAGTTGAAGCTTTCCCATTGACGAACTCTCCTTCGCTCTCCAGAACATTCCACGAAGGTCGTCAGTCGTCAGATGCTTCCATATCCATGCAGCTCCAGACGAGTTTGTGAATTCCAGCATGCCCATCTTCGGAAGAATTCTTCAGGTAAATTCTGTGCACTCGCCCATCATGTCTTCGGTCTCCTCATCATCTCGTCGGCAGGGGCCCCATCTAACTTGTACTCCAAAAGAGCAGTTTCAAGGCCCAGCCACTGGAAGAGCGTTCCGCGTACTCTGTTTGCGCTCTAAAAGAGCGGTTGCACAAGACCCGGTCAGCGGAAGCGCGTTCCGCGTACTGAGTTTTTACTACAAAAGAGCAGTTTCAAGGCCCTGCCACTGGGAGGTTTCAAAACACACGTGTGCAGTTCAATGCAGACAGACGTTGGTATAAGTAAATCTGAAAGCGAACGACAAAAAAAAGACACAGATAACGCAAAAAATAAAGACACAGATGATGCAAAAAAGAAAGACACAGATTACCCAAAAACTTGGGTCCGGGGAGCCATTCTTTGGGACATCAGACCTACAAAGAGAAAAAAACACAGATAACGCAGAAAAAAAGACACAGATAACGCAAAAAAAAAGAGACACAGATCACCCCCTTACCTCCCAAAAACCACCCGAAATCCTCTGTAAGTCTTCAACCCCAAACTCCTGAAAAACCTGTCCTCCAGCCCTCAACCGCAGTCCTCAACCTGAAACAGAAGCACAAGCTTAACACCTGAAAGCACCAGCTTTTCCCTTGAATCTCAACGTAAACTTACAGCACGCATGCCCTCCGGTCGCTGCTTCTGGACCTTCTTCTCCTTCTCACTGGTGCCATCAATCATACCCAGGAGCCAACCACGCATGAGATCAAAACATGGTCCCAGGCGAGTGGCCATAAGCCATGCGAGGCGAAGCCACTCACCCAGACTGCAACATCCGCAGTATAAAGGCCGCGGAAAATGGTTGTGTTGCAATAGCCTTGAAGTTTGCAACCGGGGCACAACGCTTTCATAGTTTTTGCCAAGCAGCTGGCAAAGGTGATGGCACTCGTGGCCATCAAGGCCAAGGCCAAGATGATTTGGTGGCCAGTGCAATAGGCTTTCTCTGATAAAACGGCTAATGCTGATGGGGTGCTTGATGCTGCAGGTCATGCACAAGATTTCCGAAGACCAGCACTAGAATCAACAACAACAACGACGACGACAACAAACCGTAAGCGTGGGTTTATGCGTCGTTTATCCATGTGTGTGTGATATACTAGCGTGTGTGTTGCGCTCGTGTTTGTGTCTGTGTGTGCGCGCTTGTCTGTGCGCTGTTATGCGCTGTTTCTGTGTATGTGTGTGCCTGTTTGCTTGTGTAGGTCTCTACAAACCACTGAGTCTTGTCCAGCCGACCCGAAAATACAGGACATTGAAGACCAATCATCTGGGTGTGTCACGAGAGTGGATGTCGCATTCGCAGAATCCGCAGATCGCACGAAGGACGGGAACTCGCCACGGAGTGGTTCGCTTCCACCTGAAGAGGTCAAGTAAGAAACATGCACAGATTGCGACCATTCGCAACCGGCATTGTAAATTCGTAGACTTCCACCAGCAGGACAAGACAACAAGGCTCATACTAGTAGCTGATTCTTCGTCAAGCAGCTGCTGTAAAATGCGGTCAAAACAACAGCAACTTTTCCATTGCACATGTACATCAGGGCTATCTTCTTTCCAGGTTGTCAATCCCTCTGGCAGTCGGGCCTTTGCCACCGCCGCCCCTGCGGATCTGACAAGTCTCAACCTGACATCGTGGGCATGCTGCATACTGCACACACCTACCTGCTTCCCTGCTTTGACTTTTTAAGCTGGCTGCTGGCACACGAAGATCACTGCCGCCTTTCCAGTGGCAAACACACCAGACAGAACTCTGAAGGCCAAGCCTTGCAAGCAACATCGAAACGGTTAATTCGATAAGGACGTAGCCCATTCGGATGCGCAGGCTAGCCATGGGGGCGCTGAAGAAATCATCACCAGCTGAGTCTCCACCCGGTCGCCTGTGTTGGATCACGAAGTGCAGCTATGCTTGAACTGAAAGCTGCGAGCCTCAAGCGGCTCGTGTCTGAGGGGTCCAGAACCTCGGAGATAATCTGCTCCTGATGCGGCACTGAACTTCAATTGTTCTTGTGTCCGATAGTTGCTTGTTTGATTGTCTGACCCAAACAACAGCATACCGAACCAAGGCTTTAACTTTACGTAGCATCTAAGTTCATGCATTCCGGCAGTCCATGGCGCGAAGTTGCTCCAGCATCCGTAGCTCTTCTTCCTTGCGAGAATGGAGTTGTCTCTGCAGCTGTCTCAGCTGCACACACGATTTTGGAGCATCATCGGCAGAAGCTTCCAAGAGCTGCTCCATAGATCCAGCTTCGCCGATCCCGAATTCTCTGTTTTCGCCATCGCTTCCTGTAGGCTCGAGCGGGCTTCCCCCAGTGGTCAGGGCGCAGCTCACAATACAAGGGACTGCAAATGGCTGATCTGCTTCCTCTGCTAGCTCCAAGACGTCCTGCTGCAAGGCCACCGTCGGCCTGCATACACAGGGCCGACAATGTCATGAGCGACTTCTCCGAACTGACCTGCACTGAACGGAGGTTTCTCGTACCTCGTGAGCTTCCAGTGGAGGAAGATCTTCATCCTCGTCATCGTCGACAGGCCCTCCCTCCTTGAATGCAGTGCGGTGTCACACTCCACCGAACCCAAAGCACCGGGGCAACTAAGCAACCTTCCTCGTCAAAATCGTCGTCACCAATGCCCTATAGAGTGCAGGTCGCAGGTTTAAGCAAGTTGTCAACAGTGATGCGACTATTTCTGCTGCCTCGTCTTCCATGAACTGAACCTCACCGAGAAAACGTGAAGGCACCGACCATAGCCAGATCAAAGGCTGACAGGTTGGCTCAGGTGACTGCGACATCTAGAGCACCGCTGTTGCCGTCTACTTCGCTGAGTGAACCTTCTCGAGACAGAATGCTCATACCTCAGCAGGGAGGGTGATAACTGTCGGCTGGCAGGACCTCTAACCGCACGACTTGGTTCATAGCCACGTCTTACCGCTCCTTAGCCGCGCAGCAGGTCGCTCATGCCAACTCGCAAAGACAGCATACGTGGATGTCATGTCGAACTGAGAAATCTGAGATGAAGGCCGTCAATCGAAGGTGCGGAAGAAGCGCGCGATCGATGCATCAACGCCTCGTTGTATCTGCCTCCCTTCTGCTGGTTTTGGATGCTTTGGCTAAGCCCTATCCCACGCACTGACCGTCTCTGTTCGATTCGCAAGCAGATCATGGTGCTCAGACATGCGGGGAAAGGATCGGGTGGTTCCTGTACGCTAATTACCCAAATATTGCTTCTGCGGTTTGGTGGAGCGGGTGCCGTCATCACAACATCGTAGTGCTCACTCGGTAATTTGCTTGATCTCTGGCGTTCTGCTGCCGCAAGCGTGCATCCACGCTTCAGCCTTGGCACGCGTCGGCATTTCGCCTCTTCCTGCTGCTAAGCTTCCGAGTGGGGAACAAAGCTGTAGTCGAGTAGACCAACAAGAATAACAACCATCTGCAGGTGTATTCATCTCATTTGACCTGATCTTGGGATTCGCATGCGCAGAGAAGCTCACATGGGAGAAGATGCTTCTTCTGGCCTTTGCCATGGTCGCCCTGATTTATATAAGTCTGCACATCCTACAATACACCGAACCCTTAAGTTTGTACGCGGCACTTTAGCTTTTGGAAAATTCTAGCTGGGATTCTCCGATCAGGAAAAACCGTGGCAAGCCAGCGGCGGTCTGCGTTCCTTTGCAAATGTTTTTTTCACGCATGCTTCCTACTTGAAATACTCAAGCATTTGTTGGACTGAGGGTGTCTGTTTGTGCATTGAATATTCAAACTGAGTGGACTTTGACTTGTGTAATTACATTTCTTCACATCTCTGCGACGTTCCGTACTCATGATAATCGCACTATCAAATTTCAGACAATGCGTCCTCGGATGTCCTCAGCCTCCAAGAGAGCAGCCAAGCAACTTGTCAAAGCCTGCTCTGGGTCTGTCTCGCTAGTGCTTCGCTGTAGCATGCTTTGCCTTGCATTGCTTCAGCATGATATTGGTTCGACCGTGACGTCATCACTTGCTCCACTGAGTTTTTTTAAATACTCGGTGACGTCATATAAGATCCGTCTGCCGAAGCTTTGGTACGAAGAATGTGGTGGGGGCAGGTGATTGACCAAGACGTGTGCATGCCCGAAACACGACCAAGGCATGCAGCGGATTCAGCACGCGCGTTGACATCCTACGGCTCACAGGGTGGGCTGCATTATGAACGAATGTCCAGTGCAAAACCAGCCAAGCGATCGCGGTGCGATCAAGCGTGTGCACAGCCGGGAGAGCACATGTGCCTTTACTATGGCCATCTATGGCCGCCACTGCTACTGCTGGTGCAGATGTCGGGCGCGAAGAAGTTGGTGTCCTGTCGCGGCATACAGATGTGTACGTACAGGAAAGAATCTGATTTTCACAAGAACGGAAGCAAGACAGGCTCCTTTGTTCACTGCCCGCAACGCCAGCCTGTGTCTGAGAGCTTTCAAACAAACCGAACAAGATTGCTTGAGCTTGTTTTCATACAAATCATACAATTGGCGATCCACCTCTTCGCCTGCATTGCCAGTTCTTCCGCCTGTACCTCAAAGTCTGGGTCTCACACAGTTCCACTAACCGACCCGGTTTAGAGCCCAGAATGCCGGAGAAGAAGCAGACTGAAAGAAATTCTGTGAAATGTCTGGAGTTACTGGTCCAACGGCAGATGCCAGGGCTCAAGCCATTCGCTCCAGCGTTTGCAGAGACGTTCTGCGCATGACGCTCGGCCTGCAGGAAAGCTCCCAGGTTAGAGAGTGTGGCTTCTGATGCGCAGTCTTTTTGCTCCCGGCACTTGTCCTCAATGCAACTTCATCTGTGGCTTGGGCCCATTCTTCTTGTCGTCGACGGAGGTGCTCCCGGATTCGTACGAGGTCTGCCTTGATCGGCCAACCAGGCAGGACGTCATTGTAAGGGATCCGCAGTCGTCCAGCCTGAGAAAGCACCGCCTGGATCGGAGCACCACTGGCGCTTCCCGTACCTTGAGATTGAGGGGTCTTGTGGTTCCCCGATGTTCGTGCACCTTCCTCATGACCAGCCCAAAGCATAAGCCAGGGCCGAAACTGTCCCTCTTGCCGGGCCTCTGGTGACTTTGTGTTGATTCAGAGAGAGAGGTCACGACGTATCACAAGCTAAGCTTGTTGAAAAGCAAGGCACGCATAGTCGTACGTTTGCCGGGGTCAGAGCGGAAGGCGAATGCGCGCCCGTGGCAGCTTGTCATACAACACCCCTTTGTCGTCAACCTCCAGCACAATTGCAGTGCTGCATTGAAGCATTGGAACAACCGACGGACCTACCATCTGCGTATGGAATGTTGCGATGCGTGAGCCGATGGGCAGCCCACCAAGCTGAAGCGTTCCCCGAGCTGCCCGACAACAGTGCCTGCAGGAAGATGCAGGAAGGAGGCAACTCGCGCCAAACTCCCCATGGGTGTGTTGCGATCCTGGGATCCAAGTCTTGTCTCCCTTCGGAGTGAATTGGATGCGACTCGTAAGTCCAGACAGCGGCCTCAAGAAACTGCGAGAATACGACAGAGTGACCTTCTCCAGTTCCGAGGCTCGAACTCATTCTGCTGGCTTTTGGCCTTCTCTTTTTGCGCCTCCTAAACACAGCACACACAGATTGGCATGTCATTGCACATGTTCCAAGATTCGATGCCTGGAATGCTTCTTGATCAACTATGACGGCTGTCTGAACCTTGGCATGATTCGCATTCGCAACATGCCTTTCAAAACATGACCGCACTTGATTGGAGATTCGCTCCTCAGGTACAAGTATGGCGTTGTCGCCAATCCCAATCTTGGGCAACTACCACATGTCCAACACGCGTTGCCAGGGTTTCTGCCTCGGGTAATAAGCAGTGAGTGGTTGGGACCTGGAAATCGCCAACACCCTCAAGACGAGTCACCTCCTGCTGTGTAAGCTTCTGCGCGATCGGCCCCATGCCATTGTTGGCAACACCCGCCTGAACTGCCTCCTCCTGCCAGCTACTGTACAGAATTTACAGGGAACCAGCACATGCATGACGTCAGGTCGGGCGCACCATTCCCGGCATACCACGTGGACAAAGCTCCCGCACCGCGCCAACCTTCGCAGCACTCTCAATGCCTCCTCTTGTATCGTCCTAGTTCTTGGAAGAAGCCGTTCGCGGTGCAACGAGGCCGAAATGTCACGAACAGCACGGGTAGCTATTGGATCGATCGGCAAGCAGTGAACCCCAGAAAGTATCAATCCTCCACCTTTCTTCTTGGTGTGCAGGCTGCTTGCTGGGGGTGAAGCCGAGCTTGTTTCGGCATCCCTTCTGCGGTGGTGCATGTACTCGAGCTAAATGCCGTCTCTACTTGCTACAGCTGCTACAGTAGTGCTACTGACAGCCGCACTTTGGTTTGCAGTGCGGGAGCGTGGCTTGCGCAGAGTCTAGCCCAGTCTCCTCTTTCTGTATGTCGTTTGCGATCAAGCTTTCCAGATTCTTGCTTTTGAGCTGCGTCTGCTAGGGTCGGATCCTTGCATATTTATGCATCATGCAGTAATTACTCCTTGCTCCATGGAGCAGGCGACGGCTCCAGCTGGGTTGCAACACGCATAAACCCCGACTCTCCTTGACATTCACTTTGGCTGTTGGCTTGTATACTCGATTTTCGACCCTAACATTTCGGCCGCGGCACCAGGCTCCACTATGTTTACTTTTGACTTTGGGGGTTTGGGTGTACCTTGAACCTTGGCTTTAGTCAAAGTGTGTTGGTGAGGTCTTTCGTCACAATTCATTTCCCCCGCTCGACAGCCTCGTTTAGACCTTACAGCATCGGCCAAGCCTTGGCGTGTAGCGAAACTGGATGAGGCCAGCATGATCAGGGGCTTGTTCTGGTGTTCTGTGCGGAGGTGTTCCGACAAGCTTCGGGAGTGGGTGGGAACCACTTGGGGAGTGAGTTGGGAGTAACGTTCTGGGAAGGGGAAAACAACTTCTAAATCCTGCCACTGGGGTCTTTCCAGGCCGACCTCGCTCCCGGCCTGTTGCCGAGTGCAGCTTCTCAACTTCCTGCATACCTCTTCCCAGCCCACTCCACTCCCAACCTCTTCCCGACCCCTTCTCAACCTCCTCCCAACCTCTTCCCGACCCTTCTCAACCTCTTCCCAACCCACTCCACTCCTTCCCGACCTCCTCCCCACCTCTTCCCAACCCACTCCAGTCCAAACCTCTTCCCGACCCTTCTCAACCTCCTCCCAACCTCTTCCCAACCCCTTCCCACCTCCTCCCAACCTCTTCCCACCCCTTCTCAACATCCTCCCAACCCACTCCACTCCCAACCTCTTTCCGACCTCTTCCTAACCCACTGCACTCCCAACCTCTTCCCAACCCACTCCACTCCCAACCTCTTCCCAACCACCCCAACCCACTTCGAGCTGCACCCAACCAACCCACTTCCGAGCTGCTCCCAACCCACTCCCAACCTCCTCCCAACCCACTCCCAACCTCTTACGAAGACGATCCAAGCAAAACCTCCCAGGACCCTTGCTTGTATAGACAGAACACCTACTTTCCAAACACCTGAGGAATCCGTGGAAATGGCACGAAGCGCAGGCAAAGCATCAACTAAGTCGCGTGCAATGTCATCCTTGACCATTGGCCAGAATAGCTCGAAAGGGATTTCGTCGGAGACCGCCTTCTCTCTGTCTGTCTGTCTCTTCTTCTTCTCCCTCTCCATCTTCCTCCCCCTCTCCCCCTCCCTCTAGACTCTAAGTCTCTCTTTCTTTCGCAAGGGCTGTGGTCTCTCTCTCTCTCTCTCTCTCTCTCTCCCTCTGCGTTCTTGCACAGCTGGGAGGAGTGTCTAAAACCTTTTCAGATCGATAAGGTGCAGGCAATCATGACCGTGTGCACCTGGAGCAGGCGCAAAACAACGCCGACAGCTGACGACGGAGTACTACATATCCGTTGCGGCAACCAGACCCCTCCAGCACTCGTGGAACTGTCGTCGCAATTGCGGCATAACCACATTGCTTTGTCCATGTGGTGCGACTGAGTTTCGGACCCGCATCGAAGGATCAACGGCCTGTTCCTCGCTTGTGCAACTGCTTTCCTTCATATGTGTGGGTGCGAAACTTGGCTTTCTGAAGATGACTTGATTTGATACAGCTGCAGGGCAACACAGGGCAAGCCTGCCGAGAAAGGCACAGCTGTGCCTGTCTGAATATTCGGCTGGGATGCCGGACCGCTGTGGCGTCGCCATCCGTGGTATCTGCAGCAAAGGCCTCCGGGCGCTTTGCCAGAATGCTCTACCACGGCTTTCGGGAGAATACACAAACGATCGAGCCAGGTTCCAAGCACAGCGTTTCTTCTCAGCACGGATAAGTTCCAGGACCTGCCAATGCTTACTGTGTTGCTGAATCCCCTGACACAGCCGCATCACACCCTGTTTGATTCCACAACCCCTCTCCTGGAAGGCATTGTCAGACGCCAGCGTCACGACCTCACGTCTCCAAACAGCTCATGTCTGCAACAACATCAACATGTCGAAACTCTAAGCGGTTTGTCTACACTTTATGTAAGCTGACCCTTCGTACACACCTTACAATACATCTTGAACGACCGTTGGGGAAGTCGGCGATGGCGTCGGCAGAAGTTGACTACGCAACCTCTAATTTGCCATGGTAGACCCGGAGTTGGTAGTCTTTGGGTTTACTGAGGCCATGCTTCTGCACACAGGTAGCCAGGCTTGCAACAAGTCGTAATTCCGTTACACCAAACCCGCTCAACAAAGTGTGACAGTGGAGCGGAGGCTTTGCAAAACCAGCGTGAGCCATGCAGGGTGCTGGTCCATCCGTGCCATGGGGCACGATATCGCATCTGCATTTACGGAGTGTTTGCTTCTTATTCCGTCCATGATCACATTGCCTCGTTGTGCACGAACACGAATCACGAACACGAATAATCAACAGGACTTGTTCCAATTCCGATTGCTGCTATTCCTATTGCTGTTGCGGCGTGCGGCTTATGGCTACTACTGTTAGTACTATTGCTGTGATTGTTATGTTGATTTGCTTTTACTGTTGCACAATACCGCGACACTGACATGGATACGACTCTTAGTAACCTGATTATCAACTACTGTGGATATTCGCCATGTGCTACTGGTTTAACTAGTATACCACACTATACCACTATACACTCAGTCCTGTCCTGATGAGGTCGCACGATTGCGACGGACTTATTAAGTCATGGCGCATCATCCCTATTTCTGTGGTCACTTTCGGCGGTACTCCCCAGGAACAAGCCCTTAATGCGTGCCGGCACTTGCAAAAGCGGAATGAGCATTTTGGAAAGACGTTGCTTTCGGACAGCATGATTCAAGAGTCTAGTACCTCAGTCATGGCTCCAAGCTCCGTGCTTTTGCTCTGGCTTCTTCTGACCTCGTTCGCTCAAAGCACTAGGCAGGTCAAGGGCCAAGCACAACTGGTGACTTTGCCCCTGGCCTGGAATCGAGGCCTGCGATATCCTGCAATCAAACGCGGCAGATTCCGGGCATCTTGTGACAAATCAAAGCCATGGTCTGTTTCACCAGTAGCCTGTGTTTGGAACTCACAGAAAAAGCCCAACATGAGCCCGGAGGATCGAACCCTGCCGTGATACAGCAGGAACTGCACGATAAACCAGTGCAGAGATGAACCCTGCAACTACTTGGAACACACTTATGCATTCATCCTCAATCTCCAACCTGTGACCTGAAAATCTGGATACAGCCAAGTTCTATGAACCGTGTACCTGCCAGAGTCGCTGATGGGTCACGGTGTGGCGGCTTGGCGACTCCACGTAAAATAGTCAGAAAAAGCCTCGAGTCCGTTTGGCCCCAACTTGTCTCGCAGCTTGATTGGGCAACATAGAGAGATGGGCCGTTGCCCCATGCACTGAACGCAACATGGTTTTGCACGTGCACACACACAGACGCATACGACATCATACGATACAGAACCAGACAGACAGACAAACAAACAGACACGCCCACACTCAAGCCCACACCCACATGCATCACAGACAGAGACAAGAACACAGGCAGACATGCAGACAGGCACACAGACAGGGCGGGCACAATCCAATGAGGCATGGATTTGCTCAACGAGCGGACGATGCGGTGCACAGAACGGACGAGTTTTGAAGCTACCGAGGCCCTAAAACACGACAAAAACCCTGTAATGCCCTACCAGCCTCTGCTAGGGTTTAGCCCTGGAAGTGGACAACAAAGCTGGGCCTCAAAATGATTCAGCTCCTGTCCAGTGCAGCAGATGTATAAACGATTCTGCACGGGTCAGAGGCAATTGCAGTTGATCACATGACAAGGGCCGCCCGCTTGACGGAAGATCAACAAATGTGAAATGTACTCGTGGACGCGAAGTTGAGTTAAACCAACTGGCAGTAATACCACAGACCCTCAGCACATTGACAGCCCTAGCCCGGCAGCCTCAGGCTTGACTTCCGAGATCGTGGCCTCGCCAATGCAATCCGACAAGTGCGGAAGCTTGAGTTGTGCGCCATGGGCCGACTAGCCGGACGTCAGGTTGCTGAAGATTGCCACTGGCTGCCTCCGTCCCCGCCAGAACGTGCTCCAGCCTGTCCTTGGATTCTTGCTGCTACAGGCGGCTGGTCTGAAGGCAATGAGAGCACCCGACCAGAGTGGCCACGTACTCTTCCGCTCGAGTCAAGGCCTGAAGCTGGTTTAACGCCTCAGCTGCGCGTGACATGCAAGATCGACCATCTCGGATCAGCTCCTAATAAATGCCTGTTTACTCACCACCGGACGAGGACATTCACACTCGAGATGGGTCTGGGCTCCCTGCCACCTTCAGGGCCAGGTCTGAAACATCTTCGGAGAGCGACAGCACCGCGTAGCTGCGGTTCGCCAGAAGCCAACACCTGACCAGCACCCTTGATTCGCTTGCACGAGCAGCTTGCAGTCAGCAAACGTCACCTGCGAGGCCATTTACAAGCATGCTTTGAGCGAGGGAAGCTTGAGCACAAGGCTGGTTCGCATCCTCATCTTCGGCCCGCACTGTGTGCACCTCGGCGCCATGGCACCGCTTTTCGAGGCAGGGATGCAAGAGACTTAGGATCTTGCTGGGATCGGCAACCCGAGGCTGAAAATCTCAAAACCGACCACCTGTCAGAGCACGCGTGCAAACTGGCACTCTGTGAGTCATCATGATGGCCTCATAGGCTTTGTCTGTGTGATGATCCCAGATTCTATGTCCTGGGCAAGGCCAACGATTCGAGTCAGTCCGAACCACCCACCAGACTCAGTACAACAGATTCAGGCCAAGGCCAATAAGCCGATGACAAAATTTCAGGTATGCCTCGTCAATGCATGGTGTGACCTGAGCCGAGTGTGCAGCATAGCCGGCCTGAAGTGCTGCCCTGTGCGAGCAGCATATCCTTTATCAAACTTATAAGTGATTGCCTTCGCGAGAAAATTTGCAAGGTCCGTGAGCTGAACCAGGGGTTCCACAGAAACCTGGCCAAGCAAGTCTCACGAGACAGAAGAACCTGATTGTCCCAAAGGTTGCACCGATCGACTCAACACAGTGAGTACTGATGCACCTGCGCATTTAAAACAGCGCAGCGAATCAGTGACAAGCTACTTGCACGTTGCCGGCTACAATATCTACGGCAAGAAGATCTGATTCCTGACAACCACTCTCGGGCCTGCATCCCTTGCCCTTATTCACACATGGCAGGAGCGCGGACAGTGCTGGCACTTGCTTCGGCAAGTGTATGTCCAGCACCGGGCACGCGATGCCACCTGCGATGGCCACGACTGGATGTAACAAGTCACAGCGCAGAAAGTGCCAAGCAGTCGGCTCGCCAAGTTGCGCAGCTTCAAAGAAATAGGCCTGAGAGTATGGCGCACTTTCGCCGGTGTAACATCGTAAATTATTCTCGGAAGCTGAGAAGTCTGCTCTGTCAAGGCCTTCAAGCCACGATCTTTTTTGTGCCGCCATACCTTGGAACCGACCGGTATTCGAGCCCTTCCTAGCGCCTCGGCGAAAGTTTGGACACTTCAGCGACACCTTGGGCTGCAGGGAAATTACGGCTTCCTCTGTCTGCGGTGCAGAACAAAAGCCCTTTACGAGGCATACCTCGCATGACCTGAAACTCTGACTCGCGCAGGATAATTGGATACTTCCTTCAGATACTCCGGTTGCCCGCATTTTCATCTGACCAGCAAGGGGCAAACGCGTACTGTGGCATGTTTGATATTAGTCTTGGATTGCCGATCGGGCCCGATGTCCGACCGCCGGGAATTTGGAGACTGGCTGGTTTGGGCCTGGACGAACGGATTTGCATGGGAGGTCGGCTCTCTGTATTGAATGCCAGCGACAGACACAACATGTAGCTCTACAACGTGCAAACTTATCACTCACTGAGCAGGTTTTGGCCCTTGGCCTCGGGCAGGCAGCGCCTCTCCCGTCTCGATCACGGCATGCAGCGCCTGACTCCACCAAGCAATCTAAGATTGACTCGGAGTTACCCTCTCAGTTGTGGTAGATTGTTGTCTGCCGCCTACGTGGCTGGGTCGCGCAGCAGGGAAATCCAGAGCACCAGAGGGACATCGACTGCAGTCCGGTCTAGGCTGGATGGAGTGCCCTTGTGTTGGCCAAACTAGCACGAGGACGGCGCCCACGCGGTGGGGATCAGGCTGGCATCTGTGCGGGCGGTTCATCGCTGGTCAGTCGGGGTCATTGGTCTATGCTCCCTCTCCTGTGTTTGGTTTGCTATGCCCCCCCCCCCCCAGTGCAAATCGTGGTGGCTCGTGACATTGTGCAGCACACTTGCCGTATGCTGCCTTGGCATGCAAACCTTACTTGTGGAGCAGAAAGATCCGAAAGTAAACATTGTAAATATTGTGGCTCCTTAGGCAGCCAACGTGCAATGGCAACAACTGCCGCAATCCTGAAACTGTTCTGTGGACAGGGGTTTAATGCTTGAAGATCGACGGCATGCGGTGTGCAGTGGCAAGGTCGTGGCCGTCTTGCACCTGTGTTTTACACCCCGCCAGACTTTGTCTTGATAGCGCATGTTTCCTTCTTCACCGTCCGTGGTTCCTCTGTCTGCACCTTGTTTGAGAGGGCTGTTGAAAGCCTATTTCACTCGAGTACTGTGCCTTAATAACCTGCTTGAACTTGCCGGCCGTGTCTGGGGAGAACGCAAGTTTCTTGACGAAGCCGCCCTCCCAAATAGGTGGAGTGTGATGAGTGTGATGAGCGATCAGAAACATGCGCTGGGAGTCGGCCCAGGCGGGGTCGCGCAGAGATAAAGCTTTCACACTGCCAGGGCACATAGCTGACAAAGGCTGGGAAAGTTGTAAGCGAGGCACAGCAGGCCGACGATAGTGAACTGCACAAATGAACAAAACAAATGAGCAGCTCTCTGTCAGCCTTCAGGAACCTGGTCAGTCCCTTCTTCGATTGCTTCCTCAGCTTGCTGCACCATGACGTCAGCAAGCTGCAGGCTGTATGCATGCAGCACAGGCAGCAGCCGATGCTCTACTCACCGCCCTCTGCAGCTTTTCGTTACCTGCCCTCTCAAAATGGCAAGGAGCGAGAAGTCCCCGAACGCTTCATAGAAGAGCTTCCACCGATCCTCTTTGTGCGACCTGAAGCTGCGCTCTCTTGGCCCACTTTGACTCGTACTGCTGTGCGCTCTCGCAGCCGGATCATCGTAGCGATGGTTTTACAGAATCTTGCCAGGCAGGCAGCATGCATGCGTGCATAATCAGGATTGGCGCGTTGGTGCGACATGCGGTTGCCGTGAGGGCGCGAGGAAGATCTTTACAGATTCCCCATGTACAGCACCGTCCTGTACTGCCTTCAGCACTGTACCGCCTCCGGTTCTGGGGCATGTCCAGTTGCTCCAGTCACCATCAAGCAGCTCGAGCCGTCCAACTGAAGATGCCTCCCCTCACTGTACAAAACGCGAGGTGTCGGATACCTGAAGGCAAACTTCGGCCTAGGCGCCGCGACATCCGCGCACTGTACATTCGATAGTATCGGTGCACGTTGGCATTGGTGCAGAAAGGTGCAGAACACACCGACAATCACAAGCCATCGTGCAGGATTAAGTTTTCTGCCATCGTGCTCACGCACCTTTATTGACATGGATGCTGCATCAGCTCCGATATGCATAGTGAAGTCGTGCGAGTGCTTTCACTGCGCAGGCAAAGACGGAAAGGCGCATGCGGTCTTCATGCAGTCAGAAACTTCGACTCAAAACTGCTTCTGGGCTTATGGACTAATATGGTCGTCCGATACGGTACGTCGGCCTGCTTGTGGCGTGGACTCAAAACGCGTGTGGTTCACTTTCTCACATCCTCAGGCGAATCTGCGTGCAGCTTCGATGTGCCTCTGGGACCAGTCCGTGATCGCCGCTGTCACAATCACAAAGCATCACAAAGCGTCATCAACGTACCGTGCCTTCCATCTTTGAGCTCCGCGACCCGACCGGCACGTTGGATGAAGCTGAGCCCTGAAGCCTTGGCATCTCCGCAAGATGCGCTAAGGTTGAAAGCTTGCAATACTCCAACTGTTCCCCTGCATTCTGTCAAGGATGCTCTCAGATCATAATACTATGAAATAATGACTCAGTCGAGAATCAATTTCGAAATGCGAGGCAAAGAGATGCACACATCGCCTCTTCGAGTCGGGTGACCCCTTCTTGCGAGAGAGATGCAGCGTTGGCAGCGGGCGCGGGCTGTCAACGTGACGTTCGGCATGGACCAGGACGCCTGCCAGTGCGAGATCGTAAGATTGTCTTCGCATGTTTTCACACTGCTCTGCATGACACTGCTTGGCCTAAGTATCGCTTCTTGCGGCACAGGGTCTGGGAGTGTGCGTCTCCACGAAGCCCTCGTGGCCGTCATCTCCCGCGGTCTTGCTGCCGTCGAGCCCTGAGATGGCAGAAAGCAAATTGAGAGGACTCCGATCGCTCAAGAGAGCGGATCTTTGTCCTGGTCAGAGAGCGACCCAACCTGAAAAGCCTGGAGGAGTTCTAGAAGCTTTGCACCCTCTCAGTGGCAGATGTGGCAGTGGGACCGAAAGAGGATCGAGTCTGAGCTGCTGAGCTGAGCTCGTGGCCGGCGCTCGGACTCTTTGCGCATGGCCGGCAACTTTCACAGGGGCCTCCCATGCCTCCCGCAAAACGCAAACAGGCTGACAACGAGAGCTCACGAAAGAACATGGTGACCATGTTGGGCATGGTGGTCAGTGGTCAGAGTATAGATTCACTGTGTGGGTCTATCTTCCGGGTGGTGGAGGCTGGAACCGAGGATAGTCAGCCCACGCTCAGCACCATCGGCAAATCACCAAAGCTCGGACTAGGACTCCAAAGGCCACGAGCCTAGGCGGCGGCCTCTTTGAGTGATACTGCCGACCCGAAGATTACTGAATGCAGTCGATCCTTCGCCTGTAGGTCATTGTCTCGACGGCGCAAAGTTTAAAACTATTCTGTGAGCAAGAACACCGACGATGGGCACGCGGTGAATCAGACAAGTATAATACAATGCGATAGCCTCCTTGAGGCAAGCACTTTCTCTAATGCTGAACGAACGACACGTCAAGAACTAGGTGCTTGATTCTACAAGTAAGATTAAAGTGATTAAAGGCCTTCTCTTCCATTTTCGACTTGGTCGGCGCGCGGCAGAAGCTCAGAAAGCGCAACCACATCGGCCAGAGTGTCCTGCACCGCCCACAGCTGAACCAGCCTCTTGCTTCACGAAAGGATGCCTCACAGTCAACCTTGAGCCGCCGAGTTGCGGCAACAGCTTGCAGAACTTCTTCCATGCCAACTGGCTCGTCCTTCGCGAAAGTACTGCTCACACCAAGTCATTTTCCGTCTTTGCGACAGAAGAGTAAGCTCAACAACCAGCACCGGAACAAAAACTTTCTGCACGCACCATCCACCATGCGGGAAAGAGCCATGGCATTCTACTGCCAGTAGTTTGGCGCAGTGACATGGCGTCCTTCTGCCTTCTGTAGTTCAACAAAGCATGGATGAAGATCCTCGCGGCAAAGACATGTGTTAACACCTGACGCCTAGGGCATAAGAGATGTCTTTCAAATCTGTCAAGTTGTTAGATCTGCCTACCGTTTCCAGTAGCCTTACAGCCTGGCTGATGGCTTGACTCCTCGGTACTCTCGTGGCTGTGACACTTCAGCAACGCTCCGCTCCAAAGGACGAGGGAAGACTTCACAAATGGAGGAAGAACTCTCCGCGGGAAACTTAACAGGAGCTTTTGATGGAGCTTGCCTCAGGTGTGAGCGGAAGTGGGCTTCGTGGTGCAAGGCACACCCAACCCCGCCGAACATTCAGACTGCGACGAACACGACTCCTAATACTGCCGCGCCTGCTACTACTGCTACTACGACTACTGCTGCTGAGCCTGCTCCGGCTCCTGCCGCTGCCAGTGCCACCCCGACTCCGACTCCTACTGCTACTGCTGCTGCCGCCACTACTACAACTGCTTCTTCTTCTTCTTCTACTACTACTACTACTGCTACTGCTACTACTGCTACCGCACAGCTCAACCAATGCTCTGGTTCAGAATGTTAGGAGCCTAAAGACGAAACCCAGAAGTGGGCTCGGACAACCAGCGGAAATTGGCTAAAGGGTCACTGCCCTCCGCACCATTCGGGCTTGTCGGAGGTTATCGGTGATTTCGGACCAGCCGGTACATGTGGAACTCCTATCAGGTCCTGTCATCCGGAGCTTGGAGCACTCACTTCTGCATCGAACTCGTAGCCCATGGGGTTCCCACATGGCCATCGCGGAGTCTTTTCGACATCACAGCCGTCTCGCTTGCAGGCAAATCCCTTTGACAGAAAAGCTTGGCACATGTAAGTCCGAATCTTCCTACTTTCAAGCCGTGGAGCAGACAAAATGCATGCTTAACTTTTGCACGTGAAGTTACTCCAGGTTACACCAATCAGCAGCACACAATCAGCCCAGAAATTGCACAAAGGTATGTGTATACTTCAGCCGCGACAAAACAGAACTGCCAGCATCAGAAGATATCAGAAGCTTCCGTCGGCGCTCCTGTCTGCTTGTTCTGACTTCAGGCCTGGAAGCCACTGCATCAGGTCCTGCTGCGTGCGTGGGCCACTGGAGAAACCACTGTAGCAGTGCGGTAACCGAATGTTTACCCGGCAGCGCTCCACTTGACCTGAAGTGGCATGCAGAACGATGTTGGATTACGGGGCATTCCATTGTTGCAACAATCTAACATTGGGCAGGCAAGGCATAGGGATGCGTGATTTCAGCCAAGTGGACAGAGCATATATACTGACTACGGTGACCCGGGCAGCAAGGAGAGGACTGAGAGGACCCACCCCATCGACGACGATGCTACAGAGCCCGACTCCTGCACTTGGATGATTTCCTCGCTCTCATACATGTCCAGACCTCTCTGTTTTTCCTGGCCACATGGAAGGAGCAACTCGTACAAATAGCACAAAATGTACCTGGATGACGCCTGGTGTCCGCACCATGTTACGTGCCGCCAGGGTGCACACATTTTTAGCAGCTTTGGTAATGGAACTTCGCGACGCATGAATTCTTCCCAATTCCGAGAAGTTACTTCCATAACCGAGGTCCATAAGGGTTCGCTCCTTGAGTGACATGACTGAATCTGGCGGCAGTAGAGGTAAGAATTAGCGCTCCTGGTGGCGCAACTTTTCGTGCAGGCATAGATGTCCATCATAATGGCGATGAGCATGTTGAGCATCAGTAGGAGTCCGACCTGAAAGGTACGCGCTGCAAAGTACCGCAGTTTCTCTCTTCGCCATGGCACCAAGCCATACCAAGCGCGGGACGAATTGAAAAGCTCCGAAGAAAAGGAGGGCAACTGGGCGTCCGAGACTGTCCTATAAGCAGGCTCTTTGCGACAGTGCAACAGGAACAGCAACTCGCACTAAAACGTGCACGATCACAAGCAGTGTCTGTGATGCTGAGAACTGCCAGGCCAAGCTTCTATGGATGTCCAGCGCACTTCTCCCATCAGGGCGAAGAACAAGACACTGGCTGCTCGATCCAATGTAGAAAACTGCAGCTCATCCTGTCCAAAGAAAGCTGTCCCCATCACCTGATGCCACACCATGCTCGACCATGCTGCGTGCATGCACCCGGCCATATTGGGAATTATGCGCCCCCATGGAAAGCATGCCCGCGCTAAAGTTAAACATGTACCTAATCACGGCCCTAAGTAACCATAAATAACCGCGCCTGACGTGAACAACTGACATAGATGCACACCTGTCTGCTTGTGCAAGGTGCACAAGCCATGCCACAAATGAAGTCTACCCGCGTGCGCACACGTAGTCCAGTCTGCACATACGAGCAAGCCTAAAACACATTCAGCGACACTAGCACGAGGATTCGCTTTGGCTTCAAGTGCAAAGACGTTTGCAAGCCTCTGCAAGGATTTGTTACATGTCCGTCACAGAAATGCCAAGGTAGATGTAGAACTTAATTCTCTGCTAACACTCCGGCAACTCCAATCCGCAATTGACATCCAGCGGCAGCGAATGCTGCAAAGACGGACAGGAACACCTGAGCATCTGCACTTCCGACGGATGACTCTGTAACACCCCTAGACGGGCAGGGCAGCCAGACCAACAGTGTCGTCACACGTGGCTGACCTAGCTGTGCATAAGGAAGGGGCACCTTGGAAACTCAGCATCCTCAGCTGAGCGACCAATCCGAAGTGGAACAAATCCACAGCAGCAGCCGACAATGTGCGTGTCAAAATCGCAAGACGTGGCTGCCTCAGCTGCTGCTGTAGGAAAATTGCTCTTGGCCTTCGATGTGTGCCACTAATTTTCGATGGCCCAGATGGCGCTAGCTCTCAAGTGCTCAAGGCATGCAGAGGGTGGAAGGCGCAAGATGCCTGCGCAGCTCTTAAGTCATCCCAGGGCCCCACGACCAAGTGCAACATGACCGAGGGCTATGGCATCAGTGTCAGTTTCAGCTACTGCATGTAGTGCATGCTCGAAATGGGAATGGGTCCTTAAACTCAACAAGGTACGTCAAATTGTCCCAGGAGCAACGGTACTTTCAAGATGCCCCTGACAGACCATTCCCAGTGTCGCTTCTTGCAAACCAAAGGATGCAGAGCTTTCTGGGAAGATTACGCCCGCAATGCGAGAGACATGCAAAGCCGGAAGATCTACTTCCCGGGGCGTGGCTCCAGGGTCTTTGGCGAAACTGGGCTGTCCGCGCACGTGTGCACTGTACTCCGCCAACACAACTCCAACAATGCAGTGCAAATAAATGCCAGCAAACACTTTATTTCAACTATATACAGTTACAGGAAGAACAATCTGGACTTGGCCAAGTGACGCACTGAAGGCCTTTAGCATTCGCAGTATGACGATAGCCTGCTGCTGTCCAGTCGAATCATGGAGCAAAACGATGCAAGCAAAAGCTTTGCTGAAAGTCAGAATGGACTGTTCAGGCAATTCCAATGCGACCACGATGCAGGATAGATGCCCTTGAGAAGCCTGCCTCGCAAGATTTTCCATGGCTTATGAGCAGACCACGAGCAAACTAAGCAGCCGATTTGCAAGCAACGATCACAATGGCACACTGGCAAACTAAACACATCAACAAGACTCGGAACAACCGTCAGTTTTCCGACGAAGCATGCTGTATGTTCCCTAATCGTACATCTTCCGCACACTAAGTTTCTGTCTGATGAGACTGAAACAGCTACTCGTCCAAAGTTGCAGTGTAGAGCACGTAGCATGAAATAGTAATTACCGTTGGTACTACGTGAGAAAAACCTTGTTTTCAGATTGGCTCTGCTTGGTGCTGTCACTCCCAAGATCTTCCAAGGCACAGTTATGTGCGAGAATGCCAACGGCTTCAATCTGCTTGAGCAGCTCCTGCAACAAAGCCATGATCTTTGGCGAAAGCTACACCACCGGAGACCCCCAGACACAGCAACACTGAGCAAGTGTGGGGGGGGGGGGGGGCGGTGGCGGCTGTGGGCTGTGCTTGGTGGTTGCGGGGCGATGGCGGGTGCTGACGTCCAAGCTAAACAGAAGAAACAGTGGGCGCCTTCAAATTCATCTTAGACTGTCTGGCTACCAAAGCGCGAGAGGGAATTGTTCTCGATATATGTATATATATATACATATATATATATATATATATATTTGTATTTATATCTATATATATATATATATATATATTTATTTATATCTATCTATACTTATATCTATATATATACACATAAGTATATATATGTATATATATATACATATACATATATATATATATATATATCCTCTTCGTGGCATGCAGCAGGCGGTGCAGAGAATCAAGTCGCGCTGGTGTCATCCGGCGGCAAGTGGGTGTGGTGTGTGGTGTGTGGGCTCCGGTCTGCATTGTCTCCGACTGTGAAGACTGTCTCCGTCTCCGTTCACATGTCCTCCGCTTTTCTCCCCACTTTCGTGAAGTACCAATACCCAGGTCTTCAAAGCGTGGCTCTCGGCACACCTGGTCACGTTGTCGCAGAGGGTGGCCGACTTTGTCTCCTTTGAGATTGGCCACACTCACTGGTAACCAATGAAGGTGACAAGGAGAGGCAAGCGTTGAAATCCCGACGCTGGTCTCTCCGGTGGTGCGCTTCGAAATGAAGGGAGACAAGCATCGAAAACACAGTCATTGCCCCCCACCGATGCCAAGTGAAGGAAGAAAAGGGTGACACTAAGCCACATGGAGACACAGGGGAAAAGCAGTGTCGAGAATTCCGGCATATTCCGGCACTGCCTACCCGAACAAGTCCTACATGAAAGTCAGACAAGAACGAGAATCGGCATCGGCCACCCACCCACAGTTTTAAACATCGGCATTCTCATTCATACTGCCTGGGGCAAACATACTCGAGCCGCTCCTCTCCAAGTCTGTCGGCGCAGAGCTCAGGCTGAGAATCCTGGGAAGCGCAAGCTGTTGGGGGGCCGGGTGCGGCATTGCTCTTGCCATTTCTTCGGGCGGATCTTGGCGCCTGGTAGCAGCTCCTCACAGTCTGCGGATAGTCCTGCAATTGCAAAAGCTCTGGCGTTGCAGCCGCTGTGTGTACCTTCCATGCCGTTTTGCCTCTAAGCCTTCTCGGAGCTCGATCGTCATTGATGCCTTGCGAAAAGGAAATGTTTCGGCAATTTGTCAATGCGTTGGAATGTGTATCAAACAAGTTGCCTATCACGGCTTGAATCGGCAGGCCTTCTTCAACTGAGAGCCAAGAAGCAAGTATGCCAAAACAATGCAGCACCAGTCGACACCTGGAAATGGTTGACATCTAGGAAAATCATGGCGAACAAAACAACACAGTCCCTTGAACCTTGAACACTCGTTCCATAGGTGAGTTCTCGCGGAGCTTTCTGATCGACTCACTGTAACCGGCTTTGACAGCACCCCAGAATCTAAGCAGTAATCATACCCTGGTTCTCAACACACCTTCCCAACAGCACACATCTGCCAATTCACAGTAAGGACATGCAGGAAACAATGCAAACACTGCAACTAGCACTATAGTTTCCGGCAAAACACTTAAGAAAGGGCTGTGGGCGTGACTAAGTCACCTTCGTAGCTGGACTCGCACTCGGACTCTCCACATCTCTCCACTGGGCACGCATGGTCGCGGGGCAGAGCTAGAACCCACGACGTGACAAGACCATCTTCGTTTTGGGGTAAATTCTTTCTGAAAGGACAAGCAGGAGCTCTGGCCAGTCTCCTCCTTCTTTTGAAACTCGAAGCCCTAATACAAAAGTTCTCTCAAAGGAGGCAAAGTTGCAGTTCCAGACGTTCAGATAGAGGCCGAGGAAGCCTCGCCAATCTAGTCCTGAGACGTCCGCCATGCAAGATTCTGCAAGGGCGACGACCACTGATTGAGCCCTCGCAGACTTGTGTGGATCGTTCGCTATGATGTCTTCATGTCTCTCCTGATATCTCGCGACATCGTTCGACGACGATGCTACGAGAACTGTAGATTGACACGTCTGTCATGGCACGCGGCTAGACACGGCTCGGGGCAGGGCATGACCAGGGTACTTTAGATGTGCGTTGCATGCCGAGTGTCTATTCTTTCTCATTCTTCGAACCAGACAGAAGATCTCCCAAAGCTCTGTAAGAAGGAGAACAGTGATCAGAGCATAGAACATCACCTCGAAGGTCAAGCTCGACCACGTCTCAAACAGAGACAGTGGCAATGCTCGATGCGTGATGTCCTGGCAATGCTACGAGTCTGGGCATGTGACTTGCAATGCACTGGGCACCGTGGCTCCTTCCAAATGTGGCCAGTCCGCGGAAACATGAACCTGGTCAAAGCAAATCATCCGTTGTCATGAAAGCAGCTAGCTACTATCGTCTTCGACAACCCGTGGCCCGTACCCGAACCAGTATGTTGCAGCTTAGCAGCTCGAGGTTGGTGAGCAAAAGCATGTCCAGCTCCGGGCTGTAAACTACAAAGCTGAGACGCGCACGAAGAGTGTCGCGAGAGAGCCACCTGCCTCGGTCAACACAGCAATGTCAAACCCCAAAGCGACTCTGTTTTGATCCAGATCCCCAAAGCTCGCCGCAGGTACCGGAAGCGGTTGTGTACACTGCAGGTAATTCATCGTCAGTTTAGCATTGGGAGCCTGCAAATGTGGACAACCCGGATCGGAATTTGTCGAGCTGCTTGCAGAGAAACCGGCTGGCCACCTGGCTAAGAAATGTCCATCAGGTCCCAAATTTGCCAGCCAAACTGTTCGACTGGATTCCTGAATCACGGGGGCTCGAGCAGAATTTGCAGCAAACAGCGGCTAAACACGCTTGCCTACTTCCGCTGAATCTCAATTCCAGCAGCCGACGCAATGCAGTTAACAACACTGCAAACACCACGCCGGCTGACAACAGCCTGCGGGGTGCGGTATGGGTGCAGTTTGGTGTTAGCGGAACCCCTTGAAGTACCATTCCTGCAGCACTCGTATGTCTCCGTAGAAGACTTCGCGAAGAGAATAGAAAGTTTCGACGACGCTGCTGAATTGCGACCATCTTCCTGAAAACCGGAGTCCAAGCTTCTTCCACGAAGCTGTTCTGCAAAAGCTCGTCTGCTGTTGCCTCCATGAAGTACTCGTTGTTTTGCACACCACAGCTCAGTCCGTAGGATTCTGCCAGGCCTGCAGAATGGGGGTTCCGAGCCCTTGCTCGTATACTACACGCACAGTTTGCAGAGTGCAGCAGACGTGAACCGTGGGGCAACGCAGGGCTGTCTGAGGAAGAAAATCACACATAGCGAAGAAACTGTTGTCTGACAGCGATGCGTTGCACGCGACACACAAAGGCCGGTACATCAGGAAAAGCAATGACAGGGTTTGTCTCTAATCGTTATGTCACGAAGGGAATAATCCTTCGCAGCCCAGCGCTCATGAGTGGTTCGGAGCTAAGCCGAAGCATGCTATCTGCTTGAGGTGCACCCCCCTGTGCAGTGCAGCTGAAAGCAAGTCTGCAGCTCGCATCAGACTCCTGCCACCGTGATCTGCAGTGGCTTCACTACACTTTCGAACCAGCAGGAAACCTCGTGCTCGGCAGGGTCCGGGCGCTAGAACCATCTGCGCCAATTTGACAGGCCCGACCTGCAACAAATGCGTTGGCTCATGTTGGCTCGCAACAATATCACAGCTCGAACTAGCTTCGTTGCTGGCATCTGCCGTCAGTTCCGAAGGTCGTACAAAACGAGATGACCTGCCTTGCGCATGTGGAGCAAATACCTAGCCAAGTGAAGGCCCAGCTAGCATTCTCTCTCTGTCATCAATCTCAACGTATCCTGGACTCGTTTAAAACACTCCATGAGCGAGTCGCATATCAAACTCCTCCGGCTTCATGGTCTCAGGCATCGCGGTGCTATTTTCTCTGGGTTCTTTGGTTTTCGACAAGAACAAGGGCTGGAAGCCAAGTTCCAGCCAGGAGGAGAAGTCCTAAGCTGCCCAGCAACAACTGCGCAGTGCACAGAGACTCTTATGCAACGCGACCGGGAGTTCGTGTAACTCTCGGCTGCTAGGGGGCCGTAAAAGTGTTCACATCCTGCAAGCTCTGGTGGCCGTGGTTCCCGCTGAACCCGAAGTTGGCCTTGCCCAAAGCAACAGACTCTACCGGTACTTGCTCGAAAGTCTGTTCACACTGCAGTGGCTTCCGAGCATTCATCGGGGTCCGGCATTCTCGACTATGTCGAAGCTCACCGCATGCTGAAGCGCCCAAACATCTGAAATGGAGCTTGTGCTCAATAGAGTGCAGGTATACAACCTGGGTAATCGCAATACGACCCGCACGTTACAGCTAGGCACCACATTATAACCGTGGCCGAATTTGCTAAGAGCATCGCAGAACCAACAGGAAGGCAGACGGCAAGGACTTCAAAGCATCTTGCTCGGCAATTTGGCCTGCAAGATGGCTTCAGAAGTTGATCTGTTAAAGTTTTGGATCTCTTTTGGAAAGCATGTACGAGCAAGTACCTGGCACGTGACAATCAAAGAAGCCGTCCTCGCAGATCATTCATGACAATTTGCTCTGGCACGCCGTGACATAATAGAACGTCTTCGATCTTCAACGAAGCCTGATCGAACACCTGGGCCGACTGCGCTGCATGCACGCTGTCAGCAGCCGCTGCCATGCGATGCGCAAAGACTCGTCGGTGCTCAATCGGTGCTTAAGTCCATGACCGAACGATCGATCCAATAAAAGACTCTGTCTGGGATCTTGGTTTGCACCTGATGTCACAGAAACCTGCTCTTAGGCAAAATCGCCGACGTGTGTCCTCTTTGTCCGTCTTGTCGGACCATGGATTCCTAATAACACAAGGGCGGTGAAACACTGCTGGGCCCTCGTAACATGTAGCATCCCTTCTCAACATGTCGTCTCTTGCTATGCTAATTGAGAATTGTCTTCTCTTACTATTCTCAAACTCAACACAGAATCTGCCTTTCCTCCCCACACCTGTCTGCCGTCCCTGATCTGTCCATTTTTGTCCTTTCACTGTCCATTCCCCACAGAAGCCAGACTGAATCTTTCGAGACTGGAACTCGGTCTCGAATCCGGAGAAAACCAGGCCGCAACCCGAGAAAGCAACATAATCTCGAGCACTCTAACGCGCCCCAGGCAATGCTGCAATCCTCGCGATATGGAGAAAACTGGAATCTGGACCGATGTCGGACAAACAACCGAATGACATGGTGGAGGGAAGGGACACTGCAGCTGCAGTGGAAAGTCTTGCGGAGTAGAGCTTGTCAGTCCGATTTCACCGAAAATCCTCAAGCCTCCCGGAAGCACATGGCTCGGATCGAACGCAGGGCGAGGGCAAGACTGCCTCAGGATCGACAAACCGCAAGGCCACTGGCTATGCACGGGGCAGCACACCTGCGCCACACGTGAGCAATGGGAGTCATCGCCGGCATCGTGCCCACGGTGGAGGATGGGTAGCGGTTGGGCTGTAACGCAAGCAAACCGTCAAGAGCATAGAGTTTCGATGCGTCAGGTGCACTCGCCTCACAGTCGCACCTGTGGCATGCATGCGAATGCATGCTGCTGAAGAAGCATCAGCTTTTCCAAAGACCACTGCGAACCAATTAGCCGAGCCAGATGCCGATAGTGTTAATGGTTAATGTTGTTTGTACTTTCGTAGCTGGTGAAAACAACCCCCTCGGCCAGGCAGCAGCACAGACCAAGTTGCTAAGCTTCAGTCTGCATTGTGCTGCAGAGTCACAGGTGCGATTATGCCAAGCTCTGCGGCCAAAACTCGTGCTGCTGACACTGTGCAGATCTGTGCAGAAATACCTGCCTGAACTCTAGACTCTAGACTCTAGACGACACTTCGGACCGTCTCGGCAGCTCTTAGACGAAGGCCCGGTGGAGTGGGCGCTGCAGGAGCTGTAATGAAGCCGAAGAACCTGAGCATCCCCAGAACATGTCGCTCGATGATTAGACGAATCTTCTGCTTTTGACACTCAGTGCGGAACCTCCGGGTACAGTGCCTCTGGAAAGGCGTTGCATGGCATTCGGTTGCCATCTGTAGCTCGTGCGAGTTTAGAAGCCAAACGGCTGCGTGATGCTGTGCTGCCATGCATGTCGACGTTTCGACAAACCGCCCAGACCCTTAGACCCATCTCGACTGCACAACCGGTCTGTCTCAGTCTCACATGGTCGGGGCTGCCCCGCGAATTGCAGCACACTCTCTCTGACAGGCTCACTCCGGGCAAATGCTTGCAGCAGCTTGCACATATTCTACACATGGCTACACAGAACAGGCTGCATCATTGGGATGCGGCGTGTCATGCGCAGGCTGCATCTTCAAATAGCGCAGCATCTGCCCAGGCACATCAGCCTGAATATCGCTCTGGACTGCAGCATTCCGAACACTGCCATCAAAGCTATTAGCGACTGCTAATCGCCGTGCCCGAGTTCCTGTCAGTCAGCGAGGTGCAGTACATGCAACTCGCTCTGCAGCGGATGCGCGATTGGACTATATGGGACTTGGACTGCAGTTGTCGGCGAATGACCCTTTCGGCACAAAGACACGAAGATGGAAGTGTCAAGCGGCTGCTAGCGTCCCTGGGCGATCGCTCGCGAGCAAAGCTGCCTTCTCCAATTCAAAGGCGGTGCAGCGCTCCTCGTCAATGCTTCCCCTTTCAGTCCTGATCGTGGCGACAGAAGTTGCGCTGGGCATGCCACGTGAGTAAAATTGAAGGCCACGCGCTGCAGTTCTCGCGAGCTTGTATCGAGGCCACGAACTATTGGTGCATGTTGTTTGAGGGCCCAGCTTTTTCAAGAGGTCGCGCAAAGCGAAAAGGCCCTCTGCCGGGGCAAGACCTCATGCTTGGCAGCACAGACCAGACGCGACGAGCAGAAGCATAAAGGAAGTTCAGGGACAAACGACCGGGGCCACTTTCATCTGCTGCGGCAAGGGCATCCACCTCGGTGACACATCGTCACTCGTACAGGTGCGGCTTTACGACGCAGCTCTGCAAGATTATGCCGACTATGCCAGCATGCATCTCCGAAGTCCGCTACGTGAAGGATTCTCGAGCAAACTCTCTGATCCTTTCGAAACCCGGCGCTTAGTGCAGCGCAACCTCCACCAGCTTCCTTGCGCCGCCGCAATGTCAGGCACAGATAGGCGCAGCAGTTGGATGCTCGACACTGCTGCCATAGCTGGCCATAATCATGCCCAGGGTCTCGTTCAATCGCCACTCCAGATCGGGATCATCCTTCTCGCCTGGCACATCCGACATGACGCCTGGCTGGATTTCAGAGCCTGCCAGACTGGGCGTGGGAAGGTTCCACCTTCGGAAGACTTCTGAAGCTCCTCCAGGAGGCTTTGTGCCTCTTGACCTCGAACGTCTGCACTGCTGCAAACGAGCAAGTTAGAATCGCACATCGTTTTCCCACTGATGCAGGAAGAGTTCACATGGGAGGCAAACTTACCAAGGCTGCAACGAGCTGAAGCCGCTCATGTAATGTCATGTAACCAGCATGTAACTATTTCGCAACGGTGGTCTCATGCACAGAAATACTGCTGCATTAGCATCTCTTGGCTGCCGTTGATAGATGCGCAGGTTACCAGGTTGGTGCATCTAACGAAACCAACTATACCGCAATGCTTTCGTATGTCATGATTGCAGAAATCCAGATGCATACCTTCAGGCAAGTGGCTGAGCTCGTCGATAGTCACCTTCTCGTTATGAGCTTGACGGTAGATGCCACACCTAGCACCAAGCTTCTGATGCTGCTGGGCCGTTTCAAGAGCAGCAATGAACGACATTCGGTTGAACTTCGCAGTTGGACGCTGTGTGACACTTTAACATTGAGGGCGCTTCAAGCCCCAGGGTGCGCACTGGGGCCTTGTAGAATGTGGAAATGCCGATTCAGTGCTGAGGCCCTGTGCAAATGCGAGTCTCAGACCCGAGCTGCGCCACGTCCTTGCTGCCTGATATTCGCTGCGCCCATCGCTTGGCTCCGTGGCCTGTGGGGTTACATTACGAGAACATTCCCTCTTTGCGCGCGCCCATCATGCCGCCGTCAATGTACATCTGCTCACAATCGACTTTAGCAGGAACAAGTCCTGTTTCGACACCTGCTGCCCTGTATGCGCATCGAGAAGACTATTCGTCCAAAACCTTCCGAGAACCCAAAAAGAACCTTCAGGTGTCGGGACATCCGATGCTGGAATTCGGCTTTCTCTCTGCAAACAACAGACGCTGTCAAGACTCTGCGTCCACACTTTCACTCCTCAGGAAGCTGCTTTGCACCAAATGCCGAAGCTTGGCATCACCTTTCTGGTAAATCGCCCGCATGATACGGCCTAGGCACGGCAAGCAAGGGGACACGGGCGTAGGCTAAGGCAGGCGACCCAGATCGCAGAGAGCGCAAGAGAGAGACGCAAGGAGGGAGAGCGAGAGCGGGAGGGACTAGGAAAGCGAAAGCGAGAGAGAGAGAGAGAAACCTGGAATCCGATTTTTAACCGGAGAGGCCGGCACTGTTGTAACAGTGATGCGATGCTTCTTTCAGCAAGGCTTACCCTAAGCATTTCATAAATGAAACACGGGCCTGTCACGCCACTTCTGAAGTTTCCCAGGTCAACAGCTAGACACGGCTAAGTACCGCTTATAGTCAACCGGACTTTTACCGTATGGGGACTTGAGCCCAAGTGCGCGTCGCGTAGACCAACTGCTAAGGACATCAAAAGTAGTGATGGAGGCAGGGTAAAATCTACACCCCCCTCGCCGTGCTGCTCCAGCTAAGGCGTACACTGATACACTGGCTCCAGGTTGCCCCGGGCTTCAGAGGATTTTGTTGGGTTGCCAAAGCGAGCATCTATAAAACACAGCTAGGGGAGCCCCGCATGTCCAAAGCAAAATGAGAAATGGAGCAGACCAGCACTCAGTGCCTATGGGTGCGATTCCAGGCATCCCACTCGGCTTGCGTGTACTGGCCGCGACGCTGCTGGCGGTAATGCTCGTCCCATTGGGCCTGAGTATACCCGAGATACATAGGCTCAGCCGCTTGACCGCGTCCCGTTTGGGAGGGGCGATTGCGAGCTGCAGCTTGGCGGTTTTGATCAGCCAAGCGCTCAGTCTCGCGAGTCTGGCCTTCGGCGCTGCGGCGACTATCACACATGATCTGGGCCAGCTCAGCGGCAATCCCTTCAGCGTTCGTTGAGTTCAGTCGAACTTCGCCATCGAAGGTGAGGATGCGCCTCGCGGCATCATTGACAGCGGCGATCTCGGAGAACAGCTTCGGCGAGAGAAAGGCACCCATGTATGTGAGGCCGATTGGAACATCCGCGGTATTGTCGATAAACCGCAATGTTCTCAACGGCTCCATTCGCAGTGGGCAAAGAAGACGAGCTTCGCAGGAGGAATGCCACCAGCGCCACCGGTGGTGCTGTAATGAACTCCAGCGCGGAGGTGCCGCTGCTCTTCGGAGCGTCCCGGATCGGGGAGCACTGCTGCAGCGAGGTAGTCGAACTTCTGCATATCCTCCAGGCTGCGTCCTTCTTGATCCTTCTTGCATCATCCTCATGCGGAATTGGTCGTCACCCTCGAAGCGCTCAGAGACCGAGGCATAGTTCATCCTCACCGATCGCTGTTTGCGATCTTTCGCATCCCGAATGACAGCGGCTTCAGCACTCATCATCTGGCCTCGCTTTTTGGGGCCATCACCAATGCCACGAAGATCGCTTGTGAGGAGTTCTTCGATTGGCTTCTGAGCGCCTGCTGCAGCTGTTGCGAGAATGGGCTGTCGAAGGCGTGAGTTCTCATAGACCCTTTTGATTACCTTTGCCGAATCACTTGTCTGCGGCGCTTTGCAGCGGAGGCAGAACAGCATCCCATTGGCGACCACGGCGGAGCATGCCGCGCATGGGTGCGATCCAAGAGGGAATGCCTCATCTTCACCCGCGTCAGTCGTGTCGCCCTCTTCTTCGGGGGCGGAACCAGCAGCATCAGCAGGCTCACCCTTGCGGGTGGCTTCATCCAAGTCCATGGTCACGTCTTCCTCAACGATCACTTCGGGCTTGGGAGCCACCTTCGGCATCTTCTTCGAAGCCACTGCCTTTGGAGCACTTGCCACCTGCTTTGGCGGTGGTGCCGATGATGAGCTTGCTGCTTCCTCATAGTCACGCTTAGCACGGAAAATGTGCCCTGGCTCACCCTCGTGGGTGGCTTCTTTGTTTTCCGCGACATAGAGAGGAAGGTTCTTCTCGCTGGTGTCCACGGCCGTGAGGATGCAATCCGGGGGAATCGTGTCGCGAGTGAGGACACCATCAGTCTCCGTAACGAAGAATACGCAGCCTGCATTGATGGCGCGTTGGGTGTCAACTGCGAGCTCGACCGGCTGGTTGGATCTCATGCCACTCTTGTACTTGGTATCGTCAAGACGATAAGGCGAGAGATAGTTGTGCGCTCGGTTGGACCTCGCCGAGCCGGGGATCATGCCGTCTCGAAGTATGCCGTTCATGCCTCGCTCATTGGTCCTGTGGTAGAGCTTGGCCGGCGTGTCTTCCTTCGAGAGCACAGTGACGCCTCGCACACTGCTCTGGGATTCTGCTTCCTCTTTCGAGAGTCAGCTGTAGAACCTCGTGGCCAGGAAGAAATCGGCGTCGGGGTTGTTCCCGACGAGCTTCTCGTTGTGGCCCTGAGCAATGCGGATCCTCACTGGAAAGAGCGGCTGTCCTATCGTCTCCCTCATAGGGACGTCGATCCCGAGCAGCCGGATCCTGCCTTTGTTGTCCGCTTTCGCTGCCCGAACCAGCTGGCGGATTCCCCATCTGGCCCCCCTGGCGGTGTTGAAGGTCTGCAAGAGGGCATCCACATCGGTCCAGCATCCGCGGTCGAAGACCAACGGAAAGTCGTCCAGCTCGTGCCCCCGAAGGAGTTTGGTGAGGAACTTCAAATCACCGTGCTTGAAGCACACGGACTTGTCTCCGACGATGTCCTCGGGGTTGAACGGCTTCATCTGGTGCTTGACACCATTACAGAAGTACTCGTTCGACAACCTTTCTGGCACAGCGGCAGCCGCTTGCGGGGCGCTTTCATCAACGAACATGAGCTTACGCAGAGCATCTTCGTCGCGATCAAACTTCTTGGTTGGCTTCGGCGCGACAGGCTCAATCACTCTGCCCATTGTTGAAGGAATGGGGTTTTCGTATTCCCCCTCGTCCACTAGGGCCACTGTGCCAGGGAGATCGTAGGAGACCTTCCCGTCCGCAACCTGGGTGACCACGTCGTTCACACAGTCCGCAATGGAACTGACATCCATGGTAGCAGCGAGCCTTGGCACATCCTTGCGGATGGCTTTATCCATGGGTGGACCGTGGTGATCTTCGTGATGTCGGCAGCATCTGCGGCATCAGGGGCTTCCCACAACTTATCCTCCTCAGTCACCGGCATCGGCTTTGTGGGCTTTGGGCTCAGCAGCTGATCCTTCTCTGCCCGCCATTTGGCGAAGACGTCCTGGAGAACCGTGTTCTCAACCAGGTCTCCCCGCTCAGTGTGTTCAAAGCGAGTAAGAAGCGCTCTCACACATGGGTTGAGCTTCTGGGCGATCCACTCGGATTTGCTGACGTTCAAGGTCGCATGGAGGTACGCCTGGAAGAGGTCTCTGTTCCTTTGGTCCTCCGACGCATGAAACGAATCGTACATTCGAGTTTCTCGACCAGTGGCGTAGCAGACTGTGTCTGCAAGTTCGTTGTGCGGAACTCCTCAAACATGGCCTAATTGAACGTATTGTAGGCGGAATGCAACTGAAAGAGGTCAGCATCCACCCCAATGGCAACCGGCGGTTTTTTTTTCCGAGGTGCGGCCAACCCTTTTTTTAAGGTTGGACACGCAGGATCCCTGTAGAGGGTTCATCGGGGACGTAAAGAATTTGCGCCGCACCACAGCGCCACCGCTTTGACACGCAGGATCCCTGTGGAAGGTTTATCGGGGACGTAGAAAACTTGCACCGCACCACAGCGCCAGCGCTTCGACGCACAGGATCCGTGCGGAGGGTTCATCGGGGACGTAGAAAATTTGCACCGCACCACAGCGCCAGCGCTTCGACGCGCAGGATCCCTGTGGAGGGTTCATCGGGGACGTAGAAAATTTGCACCGCACCACAGCGCCAGCGCTTCGACGCGCAGGATCCCTGTGGAGGGTTCATCGGAGTTTCCTTGATGTCGTCGTGGTCGTCGTCCTGGTTGTTGTTGTTGTTGCTGTTGCTGTTGCTGTTGTTGTTGATGATGTTGTTGTTGGTCGTGGTTGTTGTTGTTGCTGCTGCTGTTGTTGTGGTTGTTGTTGCTGTTGTTGCTGTTGTAGCCGCTATGGATCACAGCAGGCTGTGTAGCTTTGCTAACAAGGCTCTGGGTACCAACGCTAGAGGCTCGCAACGTCCCCCTTCTGCGAAGCTTAAGGGACCGTCCTCTTATTGAGCCATAGCCATCCCTGGAGCCACGTGTCGCTGCGATCTACCGGGTCCCAATTCCCGGGCCTCTGTCTGCAGTTACACAACATTGGCAAGAGGTAAGCGGTAGGGTTATCACCTTTCCGCGGGGTGAAGGGAGTCGGATCGAGTTTTCTCTTTCCGGCGAAACTAGCGGAAGGCGCGTCGACTGTGCCTCAGTGCTTTTCTCCTGCCGATGCTTTTACATTTACAAAAGGACCTGCCGCACCAAGCCATTCAAGGGGCGGCCCCAGTCATGGGTTGGCCATCTTCTGCACCTGGGTATCCTGAAGGAAGCTTTCGAGTTGAGGCCTCGTTCCGCTCCTCTCTTCGACTTTCCAGCTACACGACAAGACACCCAGGTACAGCTCAAGGTCTCTCCTGCGCAGTTTTGCTGGCGCTCTGGTTTTGCGCTTTAACTGGTACACCTCCGCAAGAAGGACACGGATCGTCTGGTATTCTCATGCAGTCTTCTTCGAGCACTAGTTTTTTCTTCAACGGCACAGTGGACTGCCACCGGCTGCTACGAAGCCAGTGCGATCGAGAGCTCTTCGTCACGGTTGAGTGTTTTCCGCGCTTCACTTCTGTTCAGCCGCCAGCGCCTGGGAGCAAGTCAGACTCAGGACAGGCTAGGCGCAACGTGGTGACTCACAACGCGTCAGCATCCTCCCAATGCTGGCCCCGACGGGCATTTCAGGGACTCCTCTTGCTATGGGGTGCCCTTGTGGGCCTAGAGGGGCTATCCTCTCTGGTGGGGGAGGCCTCTCGGGGGCCGCCGGGCCAGACTTGTCTACAAGACAAGGCGCAGATTGGGACACTGGGGACTCAGGCTCAGCAGAGTTGGCCAACGTCTTCAGTTCCAGCACGGTGTCTACCTGGTACGGCTCCACGTCACATCTGGGTACAGTCGTTAAGCGGACGCGCTCGCTGTGCTATGGGTGTCGGGCTACGGCTACGGCCCTCCCAGGTGTGTTCGTTACTGTCCTGTTACCGACGGGGTCAGGCAGTGCTAGGAGTGACGGCCCACGTGTTTTTTTGCTTGACGACGAATTATCCTTACGGCCCATCGCTGGTAGTCGGGAGTTACCTAGTGTGGGACGCCACTAGACGGGAACTCTGGGAGACGGCTCTTCTGAGTACGACCCACCGGCTGCCAGTTCGTGAGTATTGGACGCAATGACTCACACTGAGGGTGACGGAGGCTACATGACGACGACTTTGTGAGTCGGGCTGTCACGTTAGGAGTTTCGGGCATCGCTCGCGCAAAAACGGGCAACGCCTTTGTAACTGAAGTCAACTTCTTGTGGCCTATCCCCTAGAGGCTGGTGCCCAAGAGCTGTTGCTGCTGTGTACAGTCTGCAGCGCTGCTCTTCTTGACTTAGGCCTTTTCTCTTTTAACGTTTGTTGCATCGGCTCCTCTTTTTCCTTCACTGAGGATCCTATAGGGGTTGCGCGGTCTTCTCTGTTGGTTTTGTTTGGTCAGTTCGTTTTGGCTTGTTTTACGCGAGGCCTCGGGACCTGACTTCGGTCGTAGTTCTCAGAAACGGATGAAGGAGGTACCTGCGATTCTCGCATGGGCAGTCCCCTCGCGCAAAGCGCCAGTCTGTTTCTTTTTCTTTACAAGGCCGCCGGGCGAAGACCGCGTAACCTCTATAAGAATGTCGGCAGGTCAGATCCTAAGGGAGTGGTGCTAACTTATGGCTAACCCGGTGGCGCTGGCTCACGGCACACTCGGGGATGGCACGCTTCCGAAGTTTCTGCTCGCCCGCAATGAGCAGAGCCCGCTCGCTCAGCGTCCAATAAAATTGTTGCTGTTGTTGTCGTCGTTGGTTGCTGTTGTTGTGGTTGTGGTTGTGCTTGTGGTTGACAGGGTGAGGGATCAAAAAAAATTTAAATAAGGATCAAAAGATTAAAGCACCAGGGTCAAAAAACTAAAACAATGATGAAAAAATTAAGTCACGTAAAATACAGCAATTCCTGGGGCAGAGGCATAAAAAAAAAACAAAATAAGGATCAAAAAAATTGGATCACTCAAAATACAGCAATTCCTGAATTTCCCAAGGGAAAATATTATTTTCCTATAGATTTTCTTTCATTTCCTTAGGATCTGATTGGTTTTTCCTCGGGGAAACACGATTTTCCTACGGATTCCGTGGTATTTCCTGAAATTTTCCCTGGTTTTTCCTAGGACAAACACCATTTTTCTATTACCTATGGCATTCGTGTCATTTCTTCAGGTTTTCAGAAGGAAAACATACGTTATCTTTGGTTGTTCCTCGGGAAAATCAAATTTTCGTTGCAATTTCGCATTTAGGACGGAATTCGTGTTGTAGCTGTTGCTGGTATTCCGCTTCATCACCTATCTTAAACACACCCCCTCATTTGGCGATTCTGGTTAGCGGGGGGGTTGGGGGGGGCGCAGCCCCCCCCCATTTGCAGACACAACGCTCACATGATGGGTTTCGAAAACACTGTTTGAATCAAGCTTGCACGGCTCGAAAAGCGCGGCGGTGGGTCTTTCGTTCTTCCGTGCCTGTTCGTGTCTCTTCTTCCGTCAGCATTCTATAACATAATATAACATAGTAAACCATAAGAACGACATAAGATGGTTCGACATCACAAAAACCGTGTGACATTTTCTGACATAACAGAACCTTGCTTCTTATAGCATCTAATAAACATAACAAAAGACGACAATACAATATAACAGAAGATAACATAGAACAAAACAAGATCTTAGTTTATAGTGTAGTACATTGTAACATAGTACAATATAGTTTTTATATATAGAACATAATATTTGGTATATTATATAACATCAGGTTACATTATGCTAAATATTTTAGGGTCCATTACGATATTATTGCATATTCGATTGGACTATGTAGTATCCTATTGCTTGTATCTTTGTTTCTGTGATTCTTTCATGTTCTTTCTCTTTCGTATTTTCCAACTTTGCCTGTTTATTCTGGATTTATTTCTTTCTTTCGCTCGTTCATTTCTTTTATTTCTTTCTGGTGTTCTTTCTTTATTCATTTCATACTCCCTTCCTTCCTTTCTTTCTTGCTTTCTTTTTCATTTATTTCGTTCTTTTTCTCGTCCTTTCTTTCTTTCGTCCTGTCTTCGTTTCTTTCTTTCTTTTCAGATACAGCAATTCTTGAATTTTTCCAAGGGAGAACACTGTTTTCCTATGGATTCTCTTTCATTTCCTAAGGATTTGCTTGGTTTCTCCTCTGGAAGACATGATTTTCCTACGGATTCCGTTGTGTTTTCCAAGTTTTCCTTGGTTTTTCCTAGGAAAAACACCATTTTTCTATTACTTATGGCATTCGTGTCATTTCTTCAGGTTTTCAGAAGGAAAACATACGTTATCTTTGGTTGTTCCTCGGGAAAATCAAATTTTCGTTACAATTTCGCATTTAGGACGGAATTCGTGTTGTAGCTGTTGCTGGTATTCCGCTTCATCACCTATCTTAAACACACCCCCTCATTTGGCGATTCTGGTTAGCGGGGGGGTTGGGGGGGGCGCAGCCCCCCCCATTTGCAGACACAACGCTCACATGATGGGTTTCGAAAACACTGTTTGAATCAAGCTTGCACGGCTCGAAAAGCGCGGCGGTGGGTCTTTCGTTCTTCCGTGCCTGTTCGTGTCTCGTCTTCCGTTAGCACTCTATAACATAATATAACATAGTAAACCATAAGAACGACATAAGATGGTTCGACATCACAAAAATAGTGTGACATTTTCTGACATAACAGAACCTTGCTTCCTATAGCATATAATAACATAATAAAAGACGACGATACAACATAACAGAAGATAACATAAAACAAAACAACATCTTAGTTAATTTATGTCATTTCGTCTTTCTTTAATTCTCCATTTTTGTTCATTCGTTATGTCTGTATTATTTGCTTTTCTTTGTTTCTAACTCTCGTTCGTCCTTTCCTTGTGTTTTCTTTTTTCTTTCCTTATAGCTTTCTTTATTTATCTATTTGTGTATTTTTGATTTCTTTCTTTCCTTATAACTATGCTTTATGTATTTCGTTCTTTCTTGCTTTCTTCCGCTCTTTCTTTGTTTCGTTCTTTCTTTCTTTATGTTTCTTTCTCTCTCTCTCTCTCTGTCTTTCTTTCTTTCCTTCGTTCTTTCTTTCTTTTTTTTTCTCTCTCTCTCTCTCTCTCTTTCTGTGTCTTCTTTCCTCCGTTACCCCCCCCTCCTTTCGTGGATACCTGTTTAATTTTTTTGTGATCCTTATTTAATTTCTTTTTGATCCTTATTTTATTTTTTTGATCCTTATTTAATTTGTTTTTAACCCCTATCCCGTGGTTGTGGTTGTGGCTGTGGCAGAGGACTAGGGGACCGCATGCACCAGGGGACCAGGAGACCACGGGACCAGAGGACCGGCAGACCAGAGGACCAGGGGACCACAGGACCAAGGACCAGAGGACTAGGGGACCGCGAGCAGAGGACCAGGGGACCACAAGACCAAGGACCAGAGGACTAGGTGACCGCATGCACCAGGGACCCTTGGCCGCACCTCGCAAACAAGGGTTGGCCGCACCTTGGAAAAAAAAAACCATGGCCCAACCCCAATCACTTTCACAAAACCAATGTCCGGCTCGTCCGTGCGGGCGGCTATAACACATCCGCAGAGGGCCGTACCTTCTTGGCGACATTCTCCGTGGTCACATTCGGGTCGCGATAGGCAAGGCCCGGACCAAGTCTGGTCGGGGTGCAGCCCGACTGACCGGAGATCTCATTCCCACACCACCAACAGATGACATCGATGATGAGGCCGGGAAAGTTGGCGCGGAGTTCGCGAATGTGTTCCTCGACCTGCCAAACGATCCATGCTAGGGTTTTACTCCAGCACATTGTATAGCGAGTCTGCGACCAACCCAAGGTGAAACTGGCAAGGTTCACTTCTTGATCCAAGTCGGACTTGACAAACAGCCCGCGACGATTCTTTTTGCACAGCGCCGTGCTCGAATCGGAAACAAGAACCAATGCCCTCTTCACCTTTGGGCTCAACCTTGCGGTTGGCTTCAGCTTCGCCATCCCCTCGTCGCTCAGATCGGCCAACTGCCTCAAAGCAGCACAGCTTGCGTCAGCATGCGTGAGCGAGACACCTGCTGCGCACTGCGTGGACACGCAGGAGTATGCCGATTCCAGCATTTTGTACTCGCTGTCTGCCCCAAGTGAGACGATATCATTGTTCAAAGCAGCTGATTGAAGAAGAGTCTTCATAGCCTTCGTCACTCCTTGGCGATCAACCGAGCTGGTGTCGACATTGCAGTAGGGGTCGTTGACCAAGATAGCGGCCATTGTGGAGATCGAGATCGTTGCTTTTGGCGAGTCGGGAAGCTCAGAGCCAGCTGATTTTGCAGTGGTAAGTGTGCACATACAGGAAGTCGTGACAACATGGTCATGGCTTGCAGCTTGTTGTGTGTTTGTGCACTCGAGCGATGTGTGTGCGAACGGATCATTTTCGAAACGAGAACACGGCTTGAAAATCCTATCCCCGTCATCGAGAGGGGAACGAACACACAACCCCAAACAAACCATTGCTTTCTGAGCTGGTAACCTCAACTGAGCCGTAGGCAAGAGGAATGTTGCCTGCCGTAGGAGCCTCTTTTGCTGATTGTTGAACTTCTGGTACCCCCCTGACGAGTAAGCGATGAATGAATGTCGCTCACCACTGTAGGGTTGTACCCCGTGTTTTGTCGGTTTGCGGTATGTATTGCAATTGTAGCCTTTGTGACTTTGCCCATGATCATCTTTGTAAGTGGCCGGCGGTCCCAGTTGGCTAGCCCCTTCAATCCACAGTGTCCCCCCTGTGTAATCACCGAAGGAGAACGTCAAATTGTACGATTCCTTTTGGTTGTACTTATCTGTGTGGAGACAGGCCTTGCTTCAGATACCTGCAAATCCAAGGGTATTAGTATCGCTTTGTGCGGTTTGTGATGCCTTAAAGCACCCTCCGTGGACCCAAGCGCCGAACACCAAGTACTTGGATGTTCTCTCAGAAGCCATAAATGTTCGCGGCTTTGCCGATGAAGCTTTAAGATTGGTACGAATAAGCCCAGCTAGCTTCTCGAAGGTCTTGAAACTGAAGTCATTTGAGTCGAACGATTGCTTAGCGAAGTCCTCGACGGCCTTTGCTGCATCCGGAGCTGCTGCTACCGAAACCTTGTCGTCGACCTCGACCTTCGACTCGGGCTTGCACCCGGCTACATTCGCGCTGGTTGTATGTCCAATGAGCTTCAGAGCATGCATCCACTTATTCTTTTGAGTGAAAGGCTTCGTGAAAACATCTGCCACGTGTTCGGCTGTACCGACGTTCAGGAGCTTGAAGTGCCCATGCTCGTATTGCTGCTTTAGCCACGAAAAACTTACTCTCTGCGTCCGATCTGTATGTCGTAGAACACCAGTTTGCCCTAGCAACAGAAGTGTGATAGTTGCTTGGTTGTCCTCCATATGTCTAACCTCGAAACTTTCAGGAAGTTGGACGCAGAGGCCATTGATGTCAGCTATCGACAACCCATCCGGTCTATTGGACCCATACCGAATTTCATCAAGTTCAGGGTCAATTCGTGCGACTATAGAGTCCACCCTCTCAGCCCTTGGCTCGGCCTTGCGGCCGGCATCTCCACGCCAGAGGAAATACCACAAGCTCAAGCACGGTAGACCTTCGGCACGTAAACCATGGTTCGCCGCTACAACTTCGGACTCAGTAGAGCTCATTGTGATCGAAATTTGCTTTTTGCTAAAGGCGTTGAGTGGGAAGTACGTGTTTGGTCCGGCCAGAAACATCGCACACCCAGTTGTTGACTTTGAGTCAAACTCACCCGAGAATCACTGAACAACCAAAGTCTGCAATCCTTAATGCTGTCACCAATGAATCCGCTCATAGTGACATCAAGCGAGGATTTATGTAGCAAACCAAGCGGTGAAGTCATCCGGACTCCACTTGGTCACCCTCGACGCCAAAGTAAAGACTGAGTTGCCCTTAATAGATCCCATCTTGCCATGCGAGCGGCAAATAGAACTTTCATCAACACCTTACTTGCGATCGGTTGCGACCTCCCTGCCTTCTCCCCTTCCGATGCTGTCGGTAAGGCCACACGTAGCTCGTGAAAGGGTGTTGCAGCTGGCTTGAGGGTTTTGCGCTCCACTTTAGCAAGCTCACAATACCGCTCAACACAGGAATCCAGGAAGTCCTTCATGTCATAAGTGATGCGAGTGACGGGTTTTGTCATGGCACCGGGCTTCTCTTTCTGGTCTTGCGAAGGGGTAACAAACTTGCTTTGTTTGGCCTCTTTCTTAGCCTCAGACTTGTTACGAACTGGCTTACCCTTGCGGGTAGCTGCAACTGCCAACTCGAAATCAGACTGTTCCCGGCCTCCGAGGTCGAAGTATGTTTCGCCATCCCACCAATCCTGAAGACAGCGATCGCGCATTTGGTTGCAATTGTCAACAACAACTTCCTCCGACTCACCCTTGCGGGTGGCTTTAGCCACCACCGTGTATCGCCGAGGGCCAGTCCCCGGGAACATTCTAGCATCATCCTCGTTGGGCACATACAAACGCTTACGAGGGTATCGGTGATGTCGGATCGCTATGAGATTCTCGGGGTCAATGTCACAATAATCTTCCTTTCTAGCAGGAGTTGCAGCTGATGTCTCAGGCTCAAACACGTGACGAAATGGGTGTGCTTCCTTGGGTAGCTTGAGGTTGTGCTCCTCTTTGTGCACGCACCCAAAGTATCTACCAATAACCTCCGGAAGATCCATGTCAATGACGCTCGAGATGAGGCCCCATCCCTCCTTGATAGAGTTCTTAGGGCCAGCGAGCTTAAAGTCATCCACGTAAACCACTAGAAGTAGTTTCTTCTTCGGGTGGTAGAATACGCTTTTCCAAATATCCGTCAACACTGCTTCAAACCCAACTTTCTTCAGCTCCGTCTCGCAGTGATGTTCCCAAATCCCCCCTGAATCAGGGTGTCCGTAAAGCGCCAATTTGAGTGGAACCACAGGGTCTTTCATACCCCTCCATTCCTTAGGCCAACGATTGCGAGGCAGTCTAACCCAAGTGGCGAGTCCTTGGAACAGGGCTTGAGTGTACGCTTGTTTCGCATCGGCCTGCTGGATGATGTGCCCCGGTTGGGAGCCGAAGACGTCCAAGATCTTCCCTGCTTCCATGGATGCAGGACTGCTCGACATCTCCGCGAAGAGAGCATGATCGGCGTTTTCGTCAAGTACTATATTTCCCTGGAATACCGACCGTCCCGTGTGCTTTCGGTTGGGGTCACCTTCCTTCAGCTCGGCTCCCTTTAGAGGGTACCAATCTCAAAAACATTGCCGAAGTGGACCTTGGCTTGGGCCTTCTTAGCCTCAGTGGCAACCGATTCAAACTCCCTAACCTTATTCTGTACCCAGCAACCTTTGTCGACGAGCTTCTGCCATTCCTTGTCCATCGCGGCCTGTGCCTTAGGATTTGATGCAATCTCCTTAGACGATAAGACCTTGGCGACAACGGCATACATCTCATCTGCGATCTGGAAAAGCTTCTTGTCGTAAACTTGTTTAAATCGCTCCCGATGTTCCTCGCTACAACCATGTAGGACGGGCATAGCAGGTACTGCTTTCACAGATTCACTTCTTTTCATGCTCTGCAATGGCTGTTGCCCTTTGTCTTTTCGACATAGCCTTCCATGCTGTATGATCGATAGCATTGGGGCGGTTCTTGTTGTTCTTCTTGACCAAACATTCACCACTCCAAACATAACCATACGGTGGCTGTTGCGCTGCTACTGCTGCACTGGGCGTCAGCTTTTGCTTCACAGAAAACGGAACATCATCAAGCAATGCCGCTCGGGAATCAGACTCCGGCTCACCCTTGCGGGTGGCTTTGGCGTCCTTCGGCGGAGGATCTTTGTCACGATCAGGACCAAATAGCTCTGGGAACATTTCATCCAGGTCTTGGCTAAGTTGTTCCTGAATTTCGTCTTCGTTGTACCCCCCCTTCCCCCAGAGGAGGATGTGGGTTTTGCTCATCACGGACGTTGTGATGTTGTGAATCAAGGTTCGGTGGTTTGTCCAACGTTGGCTCTGCTAACAAAGGGAACTTGAAGTCACCGTCAGGCAGCTCTAGTATCTTTGTGCGGAAGACACGCAAATCTTCGTTCTCCAATGCAGCTTGGATGTTGTGGAGGGGCGCAACTAAGTACTCACACTTGAAGATAAAACCAGGCTGAATGTGATACCCGAGCAATATACCTTCAATAACAGTGCCAGCGATTTTGGATCGTTCAGGCTTTCGCTGCTTTTTGGGAGCCCAGTAGAGGATCTTTGCTCCAAAAGGGATGCGCATGCCATTGAACTTCTCACCATACCTGAGTTCGCACGGGACCTGACCATTATCTAGCCTTGTGGTAATGTTAAGGCAAATAGCATGATGTTGGGATGCTAGTGGCCAGCAGCGATCCGGTGGACCAGATTGCACTAGATTGGCCCGTGTGCCTTCCAAAATGGTTCTGATCTCGCGTTCGATTACAGCCTTATTTTCATTCACATACTCCCTGGAGGTGTTGTGACGGGCACGACGTTGCCTGGCTGCGAAGTCAAACTCCAACGCATTATCGGAGGAAATGACCTTGACCTCGTCATCGGTATCCAAGAAATGCAACATGTCTTCGTAGCATTGCTCACCAGACTTGGTCTTAGAAGGATACACGTATCTAAATTTAGAAGACACGTCCTTCACAACGTGAGCGACGGTCTCATCCTGAAACCCGTAGTCCTTGACATCAGCAGTCACAATGTGATCTACTGTGATGCGGTCACCGAACGCCTTGTTGTAGATTGTAGAGGATCCACCCGATTTTCGCGCATGTGGCGCATACATCTTAGCCCTTTGGCAGATGGGGCAGAACGGATTCTTTGGTCTATGGGTAAGCCGATGTTCCAATGAAGTAGCCTCAGCCCTCAAGGAAGCTTCATCCTTCTTAGACTTAAGCACCGCATATGGCTCGACATCGCTGTCGGCTTGCGCCTCAACTTCCCCTTCGGGCAAAGCAAACAAGGTGATAGTCGCAATAGTCCCTTCAGGTACTTCCCCATAGATACCGTCCAATTCGTCAATGTTGACTGAATCCTCCAACAAGGACCACACGTCATCCTTGAATCCCCAAGTAGTCCGGATTCTATACCTCGGGAACTTGGGAGCCGGTGTGCGAAAAGTCTTTGAGAAATGAGCCACCTTAGCAGCTGGGCTGCCGTTGGTGACCGTCCAACCTGCTTTTAGCAGTTGTCGTGTTTCCACCCCAGGAATGGGAGGAACACAGTTCGCCATCTTTTCGATGGGATCTTCTGCCGCGCCAGCTGGGCCTTCAGGTTGATCTTCATGTTCTCCCCTCGCTGGTGCGGCGTGCCCTTGCGGGCAGCTGTTTACCGAAAACCGAATCAGACTTGACAGAAGTTGGTGCAACCAACCTTGCTGCCATCCGAATCTGAGGACTTTGTTGCTGTGCATGCCACCAATGGTCCTCGGTCGCCGAACACCGGAACATTGCCTCGGAGTTGGCATGTTACCTTCTGATCCTTCTGGCCGTCTGGGCCAATGAAATATGGCGCCTCACCCGATGGCCAATGAAAAGAGAATCCCTGTTCCATGCATTTCTTCCCCACAGAGCAAACTGCAGGAGTGTTGGGGAGCTCGACGAATTGCAAAGGGTTCTTCAATGATTCGATGTAGACCTCGTGCTTCGTGTCAGCATCTACGGGTCCATTCGCAGTGATCAAACTCACTGGATTGGAAGCAACCTTCTTAGCCTTGCCCTTGAAATGGGCCTCCAAATCAGAGTGACTAATCAAGTCTTCCTCGCTACCGGTGCCTGCGATGATTTCGAGGTTTTCACCTGTCACCGCTGCTGCAGCAAGTTGGGGCCAGGGAGTAGTTTCTTTGCAGTTCACACAGAATCCTTCTCTGCCCCGACACCTGTAGCTACACTTGACCCGGACCTTAAGCCTCATCCCGTTCACTGCCGATTCCAAGTGACGGGCATTCTGCAAGGCCTCTTCCGTGTCCTCCGGGTCTGATGGTGGGCACTGGTCCGCCGGTTTGAATCTGAAATCATACTTGCGCTTCTCCGTGACGAACCTCCAACCTTCACCTTCAAGCGGAATGTCGATGATCTCTGGCCTCAGGAACTGGACCTTTTTGGCCTTCGGCTTCATGGTGGGGCCCTTGGGGGCCGCTAGTGCGAAGGATTTCCCAGCATTAGAAGAGGGCTCAACCGTGAGGGTGGCTGCGAGTGAAAGGCAACATGCTGCCGTTTTGTCCTCACTCTTAGCACTTTTCTTACTGGGGCGCCTGTGCTTGCCGGATGGCGATCTTCTACCACCCTTGTCAGCCTTGTCTCCCTGGCCGGGACAGATGGGCTGGCGTCCTTGTGCATGAACGGGCAGTTCTTGCCATTCTTGCAAGTACCCTTGGGATAGAAGATACACGGAATCTTTGAGGTATCCTTCTTATCCCCGCCTTTGCCACCTTTGCCTCCACCTTTCCTAGAAGGAGTCCTAGGAGGAGTTCTGCCCCTGGTCTGTTCTGGCTTCACATGCTTGTAAGGGCACTTATCGCCTCTGGGGCATTTGCCCCGCTGGAATGCATAGCATGGCTTGTCCTGACTCCTACCGCGAGGGGTGTTAGGAGCATCAGAGGGAGCAGGGGAACCAAATTTAGCACCGTGGGCCTTGGCGATAGCCGATCTGTTCTTGCGTGTTCTATCTCTTGCCAAGAGCTCCTTGACACACTTGACGAGGTAATCATATGTGTGTTGGTCCGTTCCTTCTTTTGCTCTGTCATAGACTTCCAAATCAAACTTGAGCTTGCTAGAAGTGCGAAGCTGTCGGAGCAGGATGTCTCTCAGGGTTGTTTCTTCAGGTTGGTGGTTTAGACCAGCAATAACCGACTCCCAATTGTGGATGAAGGTACTGAGGTCGTCACCACTCAACTGAACCTTGAGCAGATCTTCAACGGAGTAAAGTGAGCCGGCTTCTTCATTCGTTTCGAAGTAATGCTCAAACATGATCAAAACTTGCCTGCCGCGAACCGCTCTACCCGCCGAAGCTTCCGACTCCTTGTAGTTTATGATCTGTCGGCCTAGATCCTCCCTGGCAACTCGCGAAAGCGCGACCAAAATCTTCGTGTCCAAAGTGAGGAATTTGCCAGTATCCCTCAATCGCTCAATGCCGGCGTCCCTCGAGTATACCTCTTGAACCCATTTAAAGGCCTCATCGGGCTTGTCTGATGCGGCCCTGACGGCTTCCCTAACCGTGATTTTCCAGCTCCTGTAGGTTTCCGGATTAGGGAAGTCGGGAAGCTTCACTGACTCAGCCTCCTTAGCCTTCGGTTTGTCGTCTTCGGGCTTCTGGATGACAGACTTGAGCGCTTCAGCAAGGAGCATGCTAGGCTCTTTGTAGTCTTTGGGGGTTGCCGGTTTTTTAAAATCACTCTGGTCAGCAGTTGACACCTCTACACCGGGGGCCTTTGTATCCACAGGCTCACCAATGTTGAACCTTTGGGGCCTTCCCAATACACCCCGAAGCGAAGCTGGAACCTCCCTGGGCTTGGGCAAAGTAGGGACCCAAGGATTACTAGGACCCTGAACAATCGGCGCAGTGGCACCACCTTGCGGTGGGCTTGATTGAGGAGCGGAGCTGTCGTCAAGACAGTCCTTAGGGAGGTGACCTATGAGCTCCGCGTTGCGATCCTGGAGATCGTCAACCAAGCTATCATACTGCTGCTCCTCAGAGGCAAAGTCGTAACTGATATTCGTTTTCCTCCCACTGAAGCTCTTCATGAAACTCGAAACCCAAGTACTCTCTGAGTTCATTACGGTTTTCGTCGAAGGATGTGCGCAGCTCAGCGAAATGGTGTTCATGCTGTCTGTGTTCTGCTGTGAGCGCACGTGCTGCTGCTTCCAGCTCGGATCGATGTGCATCAAACTGCATAGCCAACGACCTTTCATCATGACACTCCTGTTGTGTGCGTGTCAGCTGTGCCTGATACTCTCGTGCTGATCGCTGCTCGTTGTGGGCGATTTGCTCTAGCACTCTTGTTTCGTTGTGGAGTTGTCCTACCAGGACCATTGTCGACTCCCTGACGAAAGCAAGTTGCTGGCGGTGATTTGCATCAGTGGTGGCTTCCAAGTGAGCAATATACGAATGCGCCTCTGCGTAGATGTTGTCGAGGACGAATTGATGCCGTCTCTCAGCTCTTAGTTCCAGTGCTTGCTGGATGCGAGGATCGCTCACGCAGATATTCACCTGGTTGTTTTCCTGCAGAAGCTGAGGGACATACCGGTTAGCCGCTGCTTCTGTTCTCTGACCGTCACTGTCGCCCGCCGCTGCAACGAAAGGTACGATGTCCATTGTAGGAGCAACCTACGGCTGATAACCTGAAGTTTCCCAGGTCAACAGCTAAACACGGCTAAGTACCGCTTATAGTCAATCGGACTTTTACCGTATGGGGACTTGAGCCCAAGTGCGCGTCGCGTAGACCAACTGCTAAGGACATCAAAAGTAGTGATGGAGGCAGGGTAACATCTACAACTTCCTCCAGATCTGGGGCATGTGTCACTCTTGTGGTAGCATACTGTGGGTGCAATTACTATTGTACGCTACCACACCGTAAGCACATAAGGATTCTCCCCAACCTAGTGTGCCAAACAAGGCTCCACAATCCGAAGTCGCAAACAATTACATGCGAAGAACTGACGCGACTCCAAACAATCGACAGCCTGAGCTCCTGCAAGCTCCCAGCTCAACCCTGCCAAAAAGACACTGCATGTCGAAAGGACGGCAGAATTCACAAACAACAACAGATACAGGACAACTGAACAAATGCAGCAATCAAAACCCATGACACACACAAACGCCCTTATCCATGCGCAGGACTCTGCTTCTGGCTGCCTTGTTGGCGTCTAGCAAAGCATCAATGATTGAAGATCTGAATCTCCTTGTGGTTGAGTGTGCAGGTAAAGGCAGCGCGAACTCCCACAGCACATTGACATGATCTCAGGGAGCCGTTTTCCCAAGCTTTGGTCCCTGTAGGCCCTACACACTACGCCTTCCACGGAAAGTGTCACATGCTGATAACGATCAAAGATCCAGCAAATCCCGAACCACCATATCGAAAAGACTGCGCTTGAAGTCGCTTTGCCGGGGGAAGGTGGTACAGATTTGTAGACAGGCAGGGGGAGAGGAGGGCATAGGGCTCTGCCCAACGAAGATCCCAGCGTACCTGCACAGAGCAAGCCACACACCTGGCATGTCGATGTTGACGCAGACATAATGGTCATTTTTGCAATTTACTTGCCTTGTGGCTCAAGACCACCTGTGCCTCTGCGAGTAGATGTACGATTCTACAAAGTTAAATTGCCTGCTGCACGGAAAAACAAATGTCCTAAGTGACTCCTCCATCAGCTTCAGTTGCAGCGCATGTTCACATTTTATAATATGTTATAGACCAAAAGTTTCACCTCTGTCTTTTCTGCTGCAGTTTTTCACAAGATCTTTTATAGAGATATGGTGAAAGCCAAGACCACAAGACACCGAAGACATGAGTCAACTACGGCGTCAAGCTCTTCTGACTGTCCATTTTACTCACATCTTCCAGTTCTGAGTCATTACCATCTACTGCGTCATCATGTTCTGAGCCAGCACAAGTTTAGAAACCAATTCCCGTGACTTTCGGCTTCTAGATACAATTCGCATCATACAAAGAACCACAGATCCTGCTGGCCCGAATATAAACATTACTGCTGTAACGAGACTACATGTCCCTGTTGTGAAGATTTCAGGAGGACGGGAAGAGCCAAGCTCAGGTTCAGTTTTGTCAGAGCTTCACCAAATTCCGGAAGAGTCAACGTCAGCAAGTTCAACCAAGTGTTGAACGAAACTCCTTACCACACTTGCCAAGTGACAACGGATAAAGCAAAGCGGATGTGCAATGGCTCTTTTCGCTGCTTCTCTAAAGGTCGGTAGCGTTAAACTCAAGAGGGCCCCCTTGGAGCCGAAAGGCCACGTCGAGCGGAAAAGGTCAACAGAGCTGGCTGCCACAACAGCATTTCACAGCTCCTCAAAGTTTCTTTGACCTTTTCGGTCAACGCGGTTTGACTGTGCCTGTCTGCCGCCTATACAAGCGATCTTTCATGAGATCCTCTTCGGCTTCCAGGCGAAAAGTGCCGCTTTCTATAAGCTGCACCAACGTGTCTCGGTTGGCCCCCAACTTAGTCAAGGAGTCCACTGGCATACTCTGGTGCTCCACCCATCTCAGTTGAACTCCTAAGCCATCGATCTTCTCCCTTGCGATCGTCACGTCCAGCGCGGTGAACTTGTCCTGGGCCTGAGCGCCCGCCTTCATCAAGTTGTCGTACAAGCTCTTGGCATCCACCTCCGACAGCGACTCCTTCAGCACCTCGTCAGTGTTGCTCTTTTGCAGAACAATATCTGCTTGGGCCTGGACGCTGTCGCGAAATCCCGCCAAGGAGAAGTGGGGGTCCAGCATCTCAGCCTGGATCGCCTTGGCCCACATCAGCTCGCCGAGCCCCTTCAGGAGGGCTTGGGCCTCCGCTGCCAGCGTTGATCCCACCTTCCTTTTCAACTTCGAGGACTTCCACCACACCAGCGAGCAGGCTGCCCGCTCGCCGTCCAGGATGGCCTTATCAAAAGCCACCACGGCCAAAGCGCCCTGCGACGCTCCATCACTGTGGTTCGCCCAAGAGGCATCCGTGATGGCCCCAGCCTAGGCGTGAAAGCGGAATCGGGAAGAACTTCATGGTGAGGTCGCGCGTCTGCTTGGCGACCTGAATGGCTTTGTTGATCTCCGCTAGGTCCTTCACCTTAAGGTCTCCCATTCTGGCAGCCAACATGCTGGCGGCTCCGGCCAGGTCTGGCCGGCCTTCCTTCGCTAGCCACGCTAGTGAACCTATGGCTCCACGGGCCTTCTGTCGCTCTTCCTCTGTAGCCGTGGCTGCTAGCTTCACCCTGGGCCCTCGGTGGAATTGAGATTGGCTTAAACGGCCTGGTACAAGGCCTTCCCCTGGCACCGGCGGTTTTACGCCTGAAAACACAATAAATCCGGAGCCGGCCCTGTCACCGGCGCTTTTTTCGCTTCAAAACAAAATAAAACAGGAACCGGGCCTAGTGCGTGTTTCTTTTGCGTGACAAATAACCAAAACCAGAAGTTGAGGCCAGCGAAAGATACCCGACAGGTAGCTGAATCTGGCTTGTGGGTAAAGTCTCGATTCTGCACGGCTTACTTCGAATGCATATCGGGGTGGGGACACTGTTACAAGCAATTTTAAACACAAATTCAAAGCAAAATCAAGCAAACCATGGCTGGCCCTATTGGACTTTGATAGTTTTTTCGGGTGCCATTCGCTTCCCCGCACAAGGGCACTGGACGACTGCGCCACGATGAGGCTGCCACCATTTGCAGCCGAAAAATAATCGTTCTTGAGGCTTCGCATAGCGCCTAGAGGTTTTGAACAAATGTTGGGTGCCATTTAGCTTCCCCTCGCAAGGGTACTGGACGACTGCGCCACGATGAGGCAGACACCCGTTGCAGCCGAAAAAATTCCGTCCCCGAGGCTTTCTTAGCAGCCTCGGGGGGCCCACCCCACTCGGGGGGATCCTGAATCAGATTGGATGCCAAGCAGGCGGCTGTCCTCGCCACAAGAATCCCTCCACATTCTTGATATGCACGGTCTCCACGGGAAGATAAAGTCCATCCTGGGCACTCAGGAATCCCTCCACATCCTTCTCATGCACGGTCTCCGCGGGAAGATAAAGTCCAGGCTGTCCTCGCCACCAGAATCCCTCCACATCCTTCTCATGCACGGTCTCCGCAGGAAGATAAAGTCCATCCTGGAATCCCTCCACATCCTTCTCATGCACGGTCTCCACGGGAAGATAAAGTCCATCCTGGGCACTCAAGAATCCCTCCACATCCTTCTCATGCACGGTCTCCACGGGAAGATAAAGTCCATCCTGGGCACTCAGGAATCCCTCCACATCCTTCTCAAGCACGGTCTCCGCGGGAAGATAAAGTCCAGGCTGTCCTCGCCACCAGAATCCCTCCACATCCTTCTCATGCACGGTCTCCGCAGGAAGATAAAGTCCATCCTGGAATCCCTCCACATCCTTCTCATGCACGGTCTCCACGGGAAGATAAAGTCCATCCTGGGCAATCAAGAATCCCTCCACATCCTTCTCATGCACGGTCTCCACGGGAAGATAAAGTCCATCCTGGGCACTCAAGAATCCCTCCACATCCTTCTCATGCACGGTCTCCGCGGGAAGATAAAGTCCAGGCTGTCCTCGCCACAAGAATCCCTCCACATCCTTCTCATGCACGGTCTCCGCAGGAAGATAAAGTCCAAGCTGTCCTCGCCACAAGAATCCCTTCACATCCAGAAGATAAAGTCCATCCTGGGCACCCTGAGTGCGCCAAAGAGGGCCGGCATTCTGATTCTGACCATTCTCCGCTTCCCGAGGCCTCAATCACTGCCTTGGCGGGACCTGCGTTCCTCGTTCCCTGAAAGATCACCCTCACACTATGGCTCTCGTTCCTCGTTCCCTGCAAGATCACCCTCACACTATGGCTCTCGTTCCTCGTTCCCTGCAAGATCACCCTCACACTATGGCTCTCGTTCCTCGTTCCCTGCAAGATCACCCTCACACTATGGCAATGGCTCTCGTTCCTCGTTCCCTGCAAGATCACCCTCACACTATGGCAATGGCTCTCGTTCCTCGTTCCCTGCAAGATCACCCTCACACTATGGCAATGGCTCTCGTTCCTCGTTCCCTGCAAGATCACCCTCACACTATATGGCAGCGGATGGCACAACATACAATCAACGGTCCACGGTCAGAGCAAGAATCCTGCAAAGACACGCACACCTTAGACACGGGCCAACATTTTTCACACAGCTGTCACTGAATCTTGAAATGGTGCCTTGCTGCCGCCATGCCGGATGGAAAATGCGTTGCATGACAGTGTAAGTCAAAAACTCAACATGCCTGCCTGATGGCTGATGGCTCACCGCCTAAGGCGTGCCCATTGCTCTTTCAGAACCTTCGCAGCTTCTAGAAGCATTTCAAACGCTTCATTCTCCTGGCCTAACTCTGAGTCTCGTGGATTACGGATTTTTTCTTCTTGCATGAAATCGAGAAAGTCGCTTGCATCTTTCAGCGCAGATGCATGGGATGCCCCTTGCAAGAGTCGCTTGTCCAGCTCAGGGAAATACGGGACCGAATCAACCCATGGGACCTCGACGAGCTTGCGAAAGTTGCCGTACTCGTCCATGGATTCCACCATATCTTCGACGCACTGAAACAGCACAGCTGATGCCTGTTCTTTGGGATTGCATCTTGAAACCCCTAGTCTTACATCTCTACACAACAAATCTTACATCATGTCCTGACTCCTGACCACTCTTCGATTTCAACTCCAAACAACTGACCGGCCTGGCACACTTTCTTGTTCTCATCGCTTGCCATGCAAGCTGCTGCAGTCAAAACTTGTCTTAGTTGCACGGCACGGTCCTTCACCTTGCCATCGTCGAATCCATGCAGTACCAACATCTGCAACATGACGTTCATCAAGTGCCCCTCAGACAAGCGCCCCGTCTGGATGATGATCATGATCTCCGGACAGTAGCTGGAGGGATCGCTAAGCAGTGCAAGCAGGCTAGCAACTAGAACCCGTAACATGAACATGGCAGCGGATGGCACAACATACAATCAACGGTCAACCGGTCCACGATCAGAGTGAGTGGCACATTCTGTGGCCAAGAATCCTTCAAAGACACGCTGCACACCGTGGGAACATTTTTCACACAGCTGTCACTGAATCTTGAAATGGTGCCGTGGTGCCTTGCTGCTGCCGCCATGCCGAGTGGAAAATGCGTTGCATGACGTTGCAAGTGAAGAAATCAAAATGCCTGAATGGATGCCTCAGCGCCTAAGGCGTGGCTGCACTCAGTTGATGTTGATGGCCTCTGAGGTGATGATGCATTCATCTTTGGTCTTCTTTGGCTTTGTGGCTTTCGCGGCGACGGGTGGATCCACTGCTTGCTCTGCTGAGCCGGCTGAGCCTGCTGACTTCTCTACGGCTTCAGGCCCTTGAGGCTTCGATGGTTCTGGCTTGCCCTTGTTGTGCTCACCCTCACCTGTTGCCAAACCGTCATTTGGCTTTGGGGACTTTGGGGCCTGGGGCTGGGGCTCCTCGCGCTTGGCTTGCTCGGCTTGGGCCGCTTGGGCCTCAGCGGTTCCGGGTGCCTCAGCTGAACCCTGGTGCTTGTTGGGATTCTCCGCCTGGGACTCGGCCTTGTCTTCATCGGCTTGGGTGCTTTGGGGTGCCTGGGCCGCCTCGGTCGGGATGGCAGTGATGGCAGTGCTGGCCGCCTCGGTCGGGATGGCAGTGATGGCTCGCGGCTGTCCTCGCCACAAGAATCCCTCCACATCTCTCTCGAGCACGGTCTCCGCGAAGACCCATCCGGATGGAAGATAAAGTCCATCCTGGGCACCCTGAGTGCCCTGCCTCAAATGGCAAGCTGTCTTTTCCAAGTCCTTTTTCGTAAGGTTCAAGAACCTCTGCCAAAGGGCCCCGGCATTCTGATTCTGACCGCCGTTCTCCGGCTCTTCCAGAGACAATGCCTCAATCACTGCCTTGGCGGGACCTGCGACGATGCACCTCGTTCCCTGCAAGATCACCCTCACACTGGCCAGTTCATCTGGCTCGGCGCCGGCGGTGACATTCCCGGCTTGCACACCAAAGTGATGGAGCTGGCATTCCTTTTCCTTGCCCTCAGCCACTTTCAAGATCTGCTCGCCCTGGCCCTGGAGGACCGTCTGGAGACACGAGAGGGCCTCGCCTGTCATCTTGGAACTTGCACGAGCCTTGGGCCTTTCAGCAGGAGGCTTGACCATGTTCTGTCTCTCCAACGTACTTACACGCTCTTTGAATGCAATGTGGAACTGCTTCATCGCGCTCTTCAGGCTGTCCTGAGCTAAACACAACACGTCGCCTCAGGATGTGCTGGACTGCTCTCATGATAAGTCTCATGGCATGCAAATTCGAGGCAAACAAGATGCATAGAAATGTGCAAACCAGGCACTTCCTGGGCAAGGGCGGTGGCAATCTCATCAGGGAGCCGGAACATGAAGGGCTGGTCCATGTTCGCTGAGCCCAGATCCTTCAAGTCTTTGATCTGGGCAATCTCGGCACAGACGTCCAAGCCGTGGTCAAACAAGACAAGTGGCTTGGACTTGCCGGACTTGCTGTCCTTCTCCTTGAAATTCTTCTTGGCGGACTTCATGCTGGCCACGCGCTGATCGTGGGCTGTGACGGCCTTCCGCAACTCTTTGATGCTTGCTTCGAGCGCGGATCGAAGCTCGGTGATCGGCTTGCGATCTGCTGCTCGTGCTTTCACAAGCTCCTGAAGCTGCTCCTTGCTCTGGCATTCCCAGAAGAGCTGTTCCTGCGTAGACTCTATCGAGTGCAGAGTCACGAGCTTCTCGTAGTTGTCGATGGGAGGAGCCATTTGCAACTGCCGTTCCCACCCTGTCGCCGTGGCCGCCCCGGCCCCGGCAGGCCCGGCACCATCCGCAGCCGCCGGAGCGCCTGCCCCGTCCCCTTCGGCATTGTCCTTGTCCTTGTTCTCCGGCTTCTTGCTTTTGTCTTCGGGCTTGTACTCGTCGATCAGCAGCTGAAGGTCCCCGGATTTTTCACCGAGCACCGACTGCATAAAGACCAGCCTTTTCTCCACTGAGTCTTTCTCAACCTTGCAATCCGGCTCCGCTCTCTTGCCGCGACTCTTCAGAAGTGCCAACACTTCGTGCGCCGAGTTGGCTTTCTCCTTCAATG